GATATAAATACAATGAACTAAGTGTATCATCAGTACAGTACAGTACAGTACAGTACAGTACAGTACAGGATATAAATACAATGAACTAAGTGTATCATCAGTACAGTACAGTACAGGATATAAATACAATGAACTAAGTGTATCGTCAGTACAGTACAGTACTGGATATAGATACAATGAACTAAGTGTATCATCAGTACAGTACAGGATATAAATACAATGAACTAAGTGTATCGTCAGTACAGTACAGTACAGGATATAAATACAATGAACTAAGTGTATCATCAGTACAGTACAGGATATAAATACAATGAACTAAGTGTATCGTCAGTACAGTACAGTACAGTACAGTACAGGATATAAATACAATGAACTAAGTGTATCATCAGTACAGTACAGGATATAAATACAATGAACTAAGTGTATCGCCAGTACAGTACAATCCTGGATATAAATACAATGAACTAAGTGTATCGTCAGTACAGTACAGTACAGGATATAAATACAATGAACTAAGTGTATCGTCAGTACAGTACAGTACAGGATATAAATACAATGAACTAAGTGTATCGTCAGTACAGTACATGATGTAAATACAATGAACTAAGTGTATCGTCAGTACACTTGTAACAGTACATGATATAAATACAATGAACTAAGTGTATCGTCAGTACACTTGTAACAGTACTGGATATAAATACAATGAACTAAGTGTATCGTCAGTACAGTACATGATATAAATACAATGAACTAAGTGTATCGTCAGTACAGTACAGGATATAAATACAATGAACTAAGTGTATCATCAGTACAGTACAGTACAGGATATAAATACAATGAACTAAGTGTATCGTCAGTACAGTACAGGATATAAATACAATGAACTAAGTGTATCGCCAGTACAGTACAGTACAGGATATAAATACAATGAACTAAGTGTATCGTCAGTACAGTACAGTACAGGATATAAATACAATGAACTAAGTGTATCGTCAGTACAGTACATGATATAAATACAATGAACTAAGTGTATCGTCAGTACACTTGTAACAGTACATGATATAAATACAATGAACTAAGTGTATCGTCAGTACACTTGTAACAGTACTGGATATAAATACAATGAACTAAGTGTATCGTCAGTACAGTACATGATATAAATACAATGAACTAAGTGTATCGTCAGTACAGTACAGGATATAAATACAATGAACTAAGTGTATCATCAGTACAGTACAGTACAGGATATAAATACAATGAACTAAGTGTATCGTCAGTACAGTACAGTACTGGATATAAATACAATGAATTAAGTGTATCGTCAATACAGTACAGTACAGGATATAAATACAATGAACTAAGTGTATCGTCAGTACAGTACAGTACAGGATATAAATACAATGAACTAAGTGTATCGTCAGTACAGTACTGGATATAAATACAATGTACTGGGTGTATCGTCAGTACAGTACAGTCCTGGATATAAATACAATGAACTAAGTGTATCGTCAGTACAGTACAGTACAGGATATAAATACAATGAACTAAGTGTATCGTCAGTACAGTACTGGATATAAATACAATGTACTGGGTGTATCGTCAGTACAGTACAGTCTTGGATATAAATACAATGAACTAAGTGTATCGTCAGTACAGTACAGTACAGGATATAAATACAATTAACCAATTATATTGTCAGTATATTTTATGACGTGACTTACTTAAAAACATATATTGGTGATAAGTTTTACCACGTAATGTACAAAACAATAAAAGTCCATTTCTTTGGTACTTAAAAGTCTACATGGTTAAAATACGGAATTTCATTAAGATGTTATAATTGTAACATTGAACCATTACAATATTCCCGCACTTTAAGAGTAAGAAGGGACTTAATGCTATTTAACCTTGGATAACAGTAATCATGAAGCCACGCTTGCCAGGAAAGTCATATTCGGCTTCCATTTGAAGACAACAAATTGTAAATTCTAGAGTGCAATGCTTTTTTCCCTGCGTGCTTTATGTTGCCATGTGAGTTACTTTGTTTTGTTTTGGTTTTGGTTTTTCGAATACGAACGCCTCTGAGCTGATGTTAATTACATACATACATGGTAAACATGATTGACTTTAAAATAAATCTTATGTATTTGTCGAAGACTGCCTCTTATTTGATCTTTTTCTACACCGAAACCAAAATAAATAGCTTTTCACAAATCCGTATGATAAGCGTGATGATTTCAATTTCCCTATTTCCCATTTCTATACAGCAGCATTCCTGCATCCCAATTCTATGGTGTTTACATGTCGCAGCTGATTCGATATTCAAGTGTCTGTTCCAATTACCATAAAATATTATGATTTCCATTCAGGAAGTCGTCACCTGACGGACAACCTCGTAACACAGGATTTTAAAAGATGAAGGATGGTGAAAATTATAGGGAAGTCACCATAGTTATTGTTCTATTTGGGAGACAAAAAGCTTAATGCTCGTTAGTTTGCCTGTTGTTGTATACCTTGTTCTCATTTGAAAACCTGTCATAACTTACTTGGATTGACCAAAATTTACAAGAGGATGTCGTCGATGAAGCTGGAGACGCTTACTCATCCGGAACATCTGATCTTATCATCCATGTACTTTTTCAGAAATCTCCGTGTAAATCTTTCTTTTGTTGATTATGTTGAGATGTTAGTATTTTCTTGTTCCTTTTTAACACACAATTCAATTTCGCTCGTTTTTTGTTATTTAAGGCAGATATACGTCTCTGTTTATTTATTAGCAGGTATCATCATAAATAATGGACGCAGGCTTGCAGCCTATATGTCTATATCAAAATCAATACATAGCATAACATATTTCCTGTGTAATGGCTTAATATAAGTTATTATACATTCGTATGTGAAAACGGATATTTTTTCCAAAATTCATCAATTTTATAACAGATTCAGCATTGACAACAATTTGTGGTAAGTTATTTTCATAAATTTAAAACTCAGTAACTGAAAAATGTTTTCTTCCATCAAGACGACATCGCGTTCTGAATATTTTCTTATCGTGGTCTCTGGTTCTATTCTTATTGTCCATTTGGAAAACATTTCTTTTGACTCTACTATCATATATATAATTTTCTATCTTGAAACGTTTATCGTATCTCCTCTGGTCCTACGGTGTTGTAGCGTTGAGAGATTTAAACTTTGCAGCCTTTCCGGGTACTAGAGATTTTTAAATCCAGGGAGTAGTTTTGTTGCTCTTCTTTGCATGTTTTCAATGAGTTCAATATCTGTTACTTTTGATGTGTTCCAAACACTCGCAGCGTACTCCAGGTGGGGTCTAACAAGAGTTTTAAGTATCATTTTGAACATGAATTCGTCCAGATACACAAAAGATCTTATTAGTTCAACTACGCTGTTTGCTTTATTGACAATAAAATGCACGTGCGTTTTGAAGTCTAAATCCTCATCTATGGTGACAAAAATTCCCTTTTTTGTTCTTAACATGGTCCAAATCGGGCTCAATACACTTCCCTGAGGGATACCACTCATTACCTGGTACGTTTTAGAGAATTCTCTGTTGAATTACTCACTGGCATCTATTTGTTAAAAGTCTTTCACCATATCCTGACATTGTTCAAGTACTGTTAGCAATTGCAATTGAACTGACCTTATAAACACAAACTGTTTGGGGTTTAGAAATTATTTTTGTCCATATGTTCAACAATACTATCTCTCACTAGTTTTTTTCTAGTATTTTAACTATTACGCCTGTCAGACAAGTATGGGTCAGACTTGGATCTTGCAGTTATGTTAGTATCTTTCCAAACTTGAGGTAGTTTTTCATCTGAAAATAATTTGTTAAAAATATCTGCCAAAGGTGAACTTATATTATTTCTTATGTCTTTTAGAATTTTTGGGTGCATTCCATTCTATCAGGTCCCTGTGCATTCTATCAGATCCCTGTGTTATCTGGTCCCTGTGCATTCTATCTGGCCCCTGTGCATTATATTTGTCCCTGTGCATTCTATCAGGTCCCTGTGCATTCTATCAGATCCCTGTGCATTCTATCTGGTCCCTGTGCATTCTATCAGGTCCCTGTGCATTCTATCTGGTCCCTGTGCATTCTATCAGGTCCCTGTGCATTCTATCTGGTCCCTGTGCATTCTATCAGGTCCCTGTGCATTCTATCTGGTCCCTGTGGTTCTATCTGGTCCCTGTGGTTCTATCTGGTCCCTGTGCATTCTATCTGGTCCCTGTCCCTGTGGTTCTATCTGGTCCCTGTGGTTCTATCTGGTCCCTGTGCATTCTATCAGATCCCTGTGCATTCTATCAGATCCCTGTGCATTATATTTGTCCCTGTGCATTCTATCTGGTCTCTGTGCATTATATTTGAAGTTATATTATTTCTTATGTCTTTTAGAATTTTTGGGTGCATTCCATTCTATCAGGTTCCTGTGCATTCTATCAGATCCCTGTGCTATCTGGTCCCTGTGCATTCTATCTGGTCCCTGTGACTTGTTTTCATTTAGCTTCCCGTGTAATTTTCCCACGACACTCCGATTACATACAATTTCCTTGGAGGGGTAGCTTAAATTCTTGTTCTCGAACTCTGTTAACGTCCCGGATGTTCCTTTGTAAAACCACTACTGAAAACGGGGCAAATATAGAAACAAAATTAACATAAAACTTATGATTATAACGGATCCTAATAAACCAAGTCTATAACAGCTTCCTCATTTGTAACTACCTACTGTTTAGTAAAGCCACAAATGGCCTTTTTCTTTTTTTCTATGAATTGTGAACAAAATACTTACAAAGATAAACAATTGAACTATTTCCATTTGACTTAAATGAACAAAAAAAAGGTAAAATTATTTTGATCCAAATAGGATTTCTAAATATGTCTCGATTTCCATGTGTTTTTCATATGCGTATTGAAAGTAGACCTTTAAACTGGCATCGTTATCTTAGAGTAGTCTCCCTTGCAAAGTATTCGCATTCGACGATTCCGGAAGTCGGTTCAGCAGGTTCATATCTGACAGCAATATTTTTACAAGTACATGTTACACTTAACGGCATAATGGTAAGTCGACAATTAAGATGTGCCGTGTGTCACGATACACCTTTAGTGTAGGGTATTATTGACGCACCCGAGATGGTTCATGATATTTATGCAAAGCAGGTGCAATGACCCATCTGTCTGATAGCTGTACCCACATTCACCTGTATTAATAAGTCCACTACACGTCGTACAAAATGATGCATATGGGACTGGATTATTTCTTGTGTTGTTTACATTCCTGAAACAGGTGTCTGTAGCTAACCTGACCACTTGTGCTGACTGGATCCCGAACTCATTACACTGATCGGAAAATATTTTGGTTTTTTATAGGATGCACTGAAACTCCTATGCATTCTCTCATTGTATTCTCTCAGTTCAGACACATTGTTGAAAGCATAGTGACTTCTTACTAAAAATAAGAAGACGAAATTATATTCAGGTGGGGCACAACCTCACACTTGGGTAATAGATTTTATCTGAAAGTTCAGACTTTGAATAATCATGTAGTTCAACACAATTTTTATTTTTATTTTTTATTTAAAATGAAATGAGGATCATATTTATAACATTGCCCACTAACCTATACACCATTGTACTTGTCTTTTTTACGCAGATGGTGAATGATTCAGTTGTCCTGCCTTTTATAAAAATCTCAATAAAAAACCCAATTAACTCCATTGCATTGTAGCTATAAAAGAACACAGATCTACACGTATAGTGTATGTTCACCTATGACATTTGCACTAGATGTCCCTGATATACATGAATATACCGCAAACCTTGCTGTGGTGTATGCTGTATATCCCACTTTTAATTGACTGTGACAAGATACGACTTCATTGATATAAGAATATGCATTTTCATTAATCTAAAGAATATTTTGTGTTTAAACTTACTATAGTTTAATTTGGAATTAAATGTTTGTGTGTAAATACTCTGGTACCAAAATAACAATTTGAAGTACATATGCACCAGAACTGGACCTGGTGGTCAATTGTCGGTGACCAGTTAGCTCAGTAGGTAGAGCATCTGTCTAGAGCTAGGAAGGTCAAGTGTTCAAACCCCAGTCTGGTCATGCATTTTTCTGCTCCTGTTACATTTAGTGTAGCAGAATTGGATGGTGTTGTTCAAAGGAAACCAGTTAGCTCAGTAGGTAGAGCGTCCGTCTAGAGATTGGAAGGTCCCATTCACAGAACTACACTGATATAACAATAGAGTAATGTAGACAAAAACTCCGTATTAAATAAATTTGCCAATCAAAACAAAAATCAGTTTTAGATTTTTTTAGAACTTCTACTTTGAATTTGCTTTATTTACAGTTGAAATTTTATAGATACAGTACATTGCAGCTCTGCCTGCATACACAATACTGTATTTATCTCCTGCTTCAGTTATTGTAAACTAAATTACAACTGACAATGTGTCTTGATTAGCCAGTTATTGTCAATATGCCATATGCATTCTGACACAGACAGAAAACTTGAAAAAAAATGTCTGTAGACTTGAATATTCAGTTCAGGCAAATTCTTCAACTGAAAGGAACACCAGTGCATCCTCTCAAATCCAAAGATGTTTTCAACCGGTGACAGTGTTGGAAAGAAAATGAGAGAAAATCTAACACATCCTCTGTAACTTGAGGATGGATCTCCTAAATACTCAGTATACACTATTAAAGTATTGTAGTGTAAATTTGAGTGATATCTACTTTGTATAAATCCCATTATATCAATCTTATTTGAATTATATGATTTCAGGTTTTCAACATATGTACATTCATTGATCTCAGATACAATATGTCTACATCTGTATGTGCAGGTCTTTATGATTTTATTTTACAATGACATTTTGAAGGGCTGTTTATACACAATGTACATTTTAAATGAATATCATCCTTACAATATATCTGGGGGCACTTTTCTTTTCTGTTTTTGTTATTGATTAATGGAAAAAGCAATGAGTCTTGCACTTGGAGTGGTAAAATGTAACATGGTCAGACCTTCAGATTATCATGTGAGGAACTTCAGATATAGTCTAGAAAATGCTCTGACCAATTAAGCAATATTTGTTTGTCAATGATAATTGCTGAATAAACTTGTTTGAAATAGATCTGTTTGAAAGTTTGAATGCAATCATTTGAAAAAGGATTAATAAAAAAAAAAATATTTTAGCTTTATTTGTGAATGATTGGAATGAACAAGTTTTTGTGTTCTTGATATTAACTTACCATGATAACATCAGATTCCATAGAATTTTTTTGTATTGCTTTCAGTATTTTCCTTATTATATGACATGTTTCCTGTTTCAGTTTGATGGTAATTGACTATTTGGGAGATATGTGATTGAGTACATGAGTAATGCAACAGGATGTAACTGTATGGACAGTAGACACATGTATACTATGTCTTCATGTGTAGACTGATTCATTATGAGGTTCAACAGTAAAGAACTGGCCTTCCTTGCCCATCAGCCATCATCCCGCTTTGCAAAGGAAGGTGTTCTTTGGATGAAGGACAAACATGATGGAATTTTTAAAAAAGGAGAAGGTATTAATGCTGTTACTATTTTATATTATTAATAACTTTATTACAGTTTGTGTTGCTGTGACTTAAAATGAAAGGCAGTATATATCAACTGTTTTTTTTCTACTTTTTAAAATCATTTTTCTAATGAGCCTTTTGTTTTACAAGCAACCAAAAAGACTAATTGTTGTGTAGAAATATCTGTTACATTTTTACTTTTCATGGGTTACTGTCTACATGTACTATCATAGTAGAAGTTTCAGTAGTTACAATAATCATTAGCTGCCATTCTTTTCTGTGTACATGTACTTGCAGGTTTCTCATGTTCAGTGTCCACGTAGAATTGGTAAAATGATCAGCATTTACTAGTGTAGATAATCTATGATTTTGATGTTTTTATCATTTCAGTGAATGTGGAACGTTTCTTTCGTTTGAGAGGAAATCTCTTGTTTTATTTCAAGAATAAAGAACTTGTAAGTATACTGATTGAGTTTGCTGTTACAAGATCAACTTTGAAAACAATGTATTCCATGATGAACATTTGAAAATTTGTTCAAAATTATTAAAATCAATTAATGAATGTTCTCTCTAGTTTTTGTTTTGATCAGAATCCCTGAGCCTGTGTAATACATATACTTAAAAATTGTCAACTTTTGATTGTACACAGCTCAAACTTTAGGACTTTGTGAGGTTTTGCTGGATCTCTTGGTTTTTTATTCCAACATTAACGTCAGGGCCCATTGCATGTTCTGTTCAGGCCTACATAAGTGATTACTATTTTTTATTTTTGTCAATCTTGTGTCAGAATCGTAAAAAAAAAGAAATATTAATAACTTACTTAATCTTTTGGTATATAGTTGTCTCATTATTAGTTAAAGAGCCAGACCCACTCCGTTATAGATATTTTTTCATATTTTATTGACTGGAAATGTTGTTGTATACTAATAGATAATGTATAAATAAAGACTTTTATAAAGTTTCGAACTTGAAATTGAAAGGGTACCAGAGATATCGGTGCCAGAATTAGTCTCGTTAATCAACACCAGGATATGAATATTGATCAGGAAAAGTCACATGATACGTTCAGACCAAAACAAAAATGGAGGAAGAGGTGAGTAGTACGTCCATGTGACATCGCTTGTAAAGAGATTTTACCGATAAATGCAATCAATACTCTATATATACTGCATGGAAATCATCTAACGTATGTATTGATCACATCTTTCAATGCTTAGATATGACACAAAAACGTGCAGAATACGAGAAAAACTACAATTAATTGCAAAGAGGCCCTCAAATGGGGGCTACGATACAGTAACAAACATATAGAACATCGCGAAATGGATCTATCTAAAGCAAATATTCGATGATAAGAGTATTTATGAATATGATTTGAGAGTGATACTACATCAGAGAGCCAAACAGAGAGTGATACAGAGTATGAACCAGCCATCTTCCTTCTTTTCGCCTCAGAGTCTGTCAAAACACGTTTTCTTTCCCGCTTCCCTCGCACGCTTTCTGCCATGTTGAAAGATGGCAGATTTATTTACAGTGCGCATGCGTCAGAGGGCAGGACTTCCCGCATAATTGTGAATTAGCACTGAGGCACTTCAAATTCTTTTTTAAAACTATTTATTACATTAGATTGGTAGCGATTTACTTTAAAATTGCGGTATTACAGGGTTAGTCAGAACTTTTGCTACCCGAGAAAATTAGAAAATCATGAATTTTTTTTATATAAAATAATATGGGTCGAGGAGTGGGTCTGGCTCTTTAAAATGGTTGTCATCTAGGTTTGGGAGTCTTATCTTAAGATACAAGGAAATAATTTGCACTGATTTTAGTGATGATTAAAATAAAAGGTTAAACATGTATAGTTATTTTGTTTTAACACCATTCAGAAGGGGGATCCCCTAGGTGTGCTGATTTTGGAGCGTTGTACTATAGAACTGTCTGCTGGAGCTGAGACTGGAGACCTTTTTGGATTTATTATTGGTAAAAGACCCTTTCAATCTGTAAAGATGAAAAAGATTGTTTCATATTATTTTTTAATAATATTTTCTTTAGTGGAATGTCAGATATTTGTATCTAAACCGTTGTATGTAAGGCCAAAAAAAGTATCTGTGTTTCCGGTTTCTCGACTTTCCCTTTTTTTTAATTTCTCTTTGGTGATGCTGCTTATGCTTTGTTCTCTGATCCCCAAAAATGCTAGTACCTTGAGGCAAATTCACTAAGATGCTTGACATAAATTGATATAGATCAGTGTCAAACATTCTCTTGACACCTTGCGGGGAAGACTTAACTAACATTTACAACGGCCATCACTGTATGGAATCTCTCTAAAGTTATCTTTTTAAATCTACCAAAAAGTAAACTCTTTTAAGATTGCCATGGTGTCTAGAGAGAATCAGTATAGTGACAACCATTGTTAATGTACTGGAAAATAAAGTTAGGAAAAATGAATGTAATGCTTGGTTTACAACATTTAAATGCTTCGACACATATATAAGTTAGTAGAAAAAGTTTAATTGTTCTATGTGTGTATCATTACTATCACTCTGTTGTAAACTGTATGAAACATTGCCTAAATTCTAACCCATATATGGGTCGCTCAAATTTGGTGTTTTTATAGGCTATAGAATGGAATTCTGACTATCGCCCACAACCAAAATAATTACGTAGAGATAGTCAAAACCATTCAAACTAGATTAATATGACATAATATACATTTGTGACACCTATATATACCTGACACATGGGTATATACCATTCCCTAATCTATATGCAGTATTTGAAAAGTCAGTGTCAAAAGCAAGCAAAAATTATCAAAAAAAAGAAAAATAGACTTATCAACCAAAATATTTTTGGTCAGAATATGGGTACTGATACATTTTTTTGCCTATATGAAAAATTCTTCAGTAAACCAGTATACTGACACTTGTTTAAATCTGACACATTGTCCTATTTTCAATAATAATAATAGCCTATACATAGTGTCACATGACTTGTCACTCACTTCATAAGTCTTTTGACTTTTCACTTTAGTGTATGAAGGCGATGACCACACTTACCAGTTTGCTACAGAGACGGAGGAGGAACGAGACTCTTGGATACAGTGTCTCCACATTGCCAGTTATGAATGCCTCAAAATGCAATTACAGAGTTTACGTGAGCAGATTCAGGCCAGGACTGGCCGAGACCCGATCTCGCAGCCACCTCCAACGGACACAGGAATGGAATATGAAACACAATCTGGTGCGACCTCTGACCCTGATGGGGCCCTTCTTGGGTTTCATTCTGTTGCCAAAAATTAACAAACTTCCAGCCTCGTGGGGTAATGAAATTTAGAATAGATGGTGTGGGATATTTTACAGGCTAAATTCAGGTTGCTTTATTTGGTAAAATGGATGAAACTTATACTACAAATTTAGCTTCCAGTTTTGTTTACAGGTAAAGGGTTTTTACAACTGTTTACTCCACTGTTATGCTTCATATATTCACCAATTTAGGTTTTATTTTATGAATATTCAGTAGCCTTTCCCACTCGAGATCTTCAAAACATCTTAGTGTGCTCTCACTAATCCATATTGGAAATTTTTTTTTTTATGAAAATAGATAATTTCCTGGTACATAAACTTTGTAGGCAATGTGTACTTGTTGTTTTAGTCAAACTTCGCTTATTTTGTAAATAAATCAGAGGACTGATGTTCTGCTAAATATTCATACCGTCCACCATACTTACATTTTTATCTACGACTTCAAAACTCTCAGCTGAAAATCAGTCTCACTGTCTATATATAATGTATGAACATAAAACTAAAGAATATTTGTTCAAAATGTACTAGAATACAAATCACTGTAGATGTGATGAATTTCTTTATCTAATGGTATGTTCCATGTTTATAGGTGAAAACATGCCAATTATGATCTGGAGGTACATGTAATTAGACTTAGTTTTATTGTTTATATAATGTGATAAGAATGACAACATTTTGGTCTTTTTGACAATGCTGTAATTCATCTTTAATTTAATGTTCTAGATGTTGGATTTTAATGATAAATTTTCCAGCTTTTCATGTTTGTCTAATGCACAGGATCTTCTCTCCTAAGTGCTTTTCTACTTTGCTTACATAGGATATCTGGCCTGTCAGGTTTTATGTGATTGGATTGAGGATTAAACAAAAATTGTGCAGATAGTACTTCCTGTGACTGTTAAGTAAAAAATATTGTCCAATTTGTTCCTGCTAAGGTAATGCTTTTGTCAGATCTGTTACTGCTAGGGTGACAATGGTAACAATATATGTCAGATCTGTTACTGCTCGGGTAATGATTTATGTCAGATCTGTTACTGCTAGGGTAATGATTTATGTCAGATCTGTTACTGCTAGGGTAATGATTTATGTCAGATCTGTTACTGCTAGGGTAATGATTTATGTCAAATCTGTTACTGCTAGGGTAATGATTTATGTCAGATCTGTTACTGCTAGGGTAATGATTTATGTCAGATCTGTTACTGCTAGGGTAATGATTTATGTCAGATCTGTTACTGCTAGGGTAATGATTTATGTCAGATCTGTTACTGCTAGGGTAATGATTTATGTCAGATCTGTTACTGCTAGGGTAATGATTTATGTCAGATCTGTTACTGCTAGGGTAGTGATTTATGTCAGATCTGTTACTGCTAGGGTAATGATTTATGTCAGATCTGTTACTGCTAGGGTAATGATTTATGTCAGATCTGTTACTGCTAGGGCAATGATTTATGTCAGATCTGTTACTGCTAGGGTAGTGATTTATGTCAGATCTGTTACTGCTAGGGTAATGATTTATGTCAGATCTGTTACTGCTAGGGTAGTGATTTATGTCAGATCTGTTACTGCTAGGGTAATGATTTATGTCAGATCTGTTACTGCTACAGTAATGATTTATGTCAGATCTGTTACTGCTAGGGTAATGATTTATGTCAGATCTGTTACTGCTACAGTAATGATTTATGTCAGATCTGTTACTGCTAGGGTAATGATTTATGTCAGATCTGTTACTGCTACAGTAATGATTTATGTCAGATCTGTTACTGCTACAGTAATGATTTATGTCAGATCTGTTACTGCTACGGTAATGATTTATGTCAGATCTGTTACTGCTACAGTAATGATTTATGTCAGATCTGTTACTGCTAGGGTAATGATTTATGTCAGATCTGTTACTGCTAGGGTAATGATTTATGTCAGATCTGTTACTGCTAGGGCAATGATTTATGTCAGATCTGTTACTGCTAGGGTAATGATTTATGTCAGATCTGTTACTGCTAGGGCAATGATTTATGTCAGATCTGTTACTGCTAGGGCAATGATTTATGTCAGATCTGTTACTGCTAGGGTAATGATTTATGTCAGATCTGTTACTGCTAGGGTAATGATTTATGTCAGATCTGTTACTGCTAGGGTAATGATTTATGTCAGATCTGTTACTGCTAGGGTAGTGATTTATGTCAAATCTGTTACTGCTAGGGTAATGATTTATGTCAGATCTGTTACTGCTAGGGTAATGATTTATGTCAGATCTGTTACTGCTACAGTAATGATTTATGTCAGATCTGTTACTGCTAGGGTAATGATTTATGTCAGATCTGTTACTGCTAGGGTAATGATTTATGTCAGATCTGTTACTGCTAGGGTAGTGATTTATGTCAGATCTGTTACTGCTAGGATAATGATTTATGTCAGATCTGTTACTGCTAGGGTAATGATTAATGTCCGATCTGTTACTGCTAGGATAATGATTTATGTCAGATCTGTTACTGCTAGGGTAATGATTAATGTCCGATCTGTTACTGCTAGGGTAGTGATTTATGTCAAATCTGTTACTGCTACGGTAATGATTTATGTCAGATCTGTTGCTGCTAGGGTAATGATTTATGTCAGATCTGTTACTGCTAGGATAATGATTTATGTCAGATCTGTTACTGCTAGGGTAATGATTAATGTCCGATCTGTTACTGCTAGGGTAGTGATTTATGTCAAATCTGTTACTGCTACGGTAATGATTTATGTCAGATCTGTTGCTGCTAGGGTAATGATTTATGTCAGATCTGTTACTGCTAGGATAATGATTTATGTCAGATCTGTTACTGCTAGGGTAATGATTAATGTCCGATCTGTTACTGCTAGGGTAGTGATTTATGTCAAATCTGTTACTGCTAGGGTAATGATTTATGTCAGATCTGTTACTGCTAGGGTAATGATTTATGTCCGATCTGTTACTGCTAGGGCAATGATTTATGTCAGATCTGTTGCTGCTAGGGCAATGATTTATGTCAGATCTGTTACTGCTAGGGCAATGATTTATGTCAGATCAGTTACCTCTATGGATACTGAGTGCTACTGCTGGTGGTGGGAGTATGTGTCTGGTGATCAATATATTTGAGAATCTGTATAGTGTATCTATTAGAGGTTAATAGATTGAACTATACATTGTATATAAGCATGTGGGTATTGATGTTCTACAGGAGGATATAGAAGTGGGGTCAGAACTGAGGCATTGTTGAGGTTGTGAACCCAAATTCTATACATAAGGGTAGAATGTCATTTATCAGTGTATTGCTGTCTGTTTTCTCTCACCTTGTACAATATTATTTGGTAAACACAATATTGATCAAGTAACTTTAGTGATTAATGTAGCACAATTTCTATGTGACAAACATATAAAGTATAACCATATAAAAAAACCAGATCAGAAAAAAGGCAGAGGTGGGAGAAATATACTCTTTTATATATTCTTGGTCCTATCTTCTTGGTTCACAGTAATCTGAACTATTGTTTAAATAAATATAATACTTAGTAGCACATGTATTGGCTCAACAAATTTACTTGATGAAGGAACATTGAGGTCCTTACTTACATATTAACATGGAGGTCACTTAAAGGTTATTTAGATGAAAATAGAAAATTTCTTTGATTGAAGGAAATGAATAATTAGATAAATTCTTTTGTAGATCATAGAGCATTCTTTATAGAATTTAAAGTTTTGGGTATGTTGCAGAAAATAAGTAATTAATATTTATTATTTTTAACCTCTTGATAGGAAACACAGATGATGATCCGGCCATGGAGTTGTGTATAAGTAAGTGTTAAATGTGTTAATGCAAGTATGAAGTATGTTCATTGTATTTGTGAGTATACAAACTGTTGGTAATTGAGTATGAACTATGTATGTGAATTTGAACTGTGTGTGAGGGAGTATTAATTATGTTTATGAGAGTATCAACTCTGTTAATGTATGAACAATGAACATGAATGAATTATGTAAATGTGAATATGGATAATGTACTTGTGAATATGAAAGATGAACATGTATGAATTATTTATATGTGAGTATGAACTGTGTAAATATGCGTATGACCCGTATACATAATCATTAGAATGTTTTTTTTTTCTCCTAAACAGGTTGTGAAGACCTACAGTGTGACAGTAGTGGGAAGGCCCCTAATCCCCTGGTTGTGCTCTATACCATAATACCTCCACAACAGAACTGGATACAACACAATCACACAGAGGTTGTAGAGGTAATTATCACCCCTATTATATCTATATATAGTCATGTAGATCCACAGTGTGATAGTTAAGACAATTACCTCCCATTGATCTTTGCAGTAAGATGATTGTTAAGGTGATTACCTCCCCTTTGTCTTAAGGGTGTTGGAGAAAATTATTCATCTCATTTTTAAAAGAAACATTCAAAAGATGTAATCTTCTCAACCAGTAAAAAAATGTATAAACATATATGTAAATATCTCCCCTATACGGTTTAGGAACAGACTGCGATGAAGGAAATTACCTCCCCTGATTTCATCATACTTTATGGAAGAGACTGTTTATATTTTTGAAATGAATATGAAAATTTGTATTATCTCCGTTAATATAGAATATAGGATAGGAAATGATGCACAGGATGATAGTTATAGAATATAGGAAATGATGTGCAGGATGATAGTTATAGAATATAGGAAATGATGTGCAGGATGATAGTTTTTAACTTACAATACCTATGACAGGGTAAGGAACACACCATACTCTTTCACACCTGTTACTGTATAAGTTAATTCTTCTTCTTCATTTTTCTTTTCTTTTCTTTTTTAAGCTGGCTCAATGATTGTATGGTAGACTTTCAGGGGAAGCTAGTAACAGAGGTGTAATATAAAGACTTTTCTGAAATTGTTTGTGTGGACACCTCTCAAAATGTCAAACTCATTTTATCAATTCATTTTCAAACTATTTACTTATTTTCCCAATAGAAAAGCAGAAGTCCACAGTTTTTGAAGACAATTGGTTTTGGCAACATGAATGGAGTGGACACCTGTACTAGAGTTAAGCTAACAGTGTTTCATGTTAAGGAGAGGATGACTGGCACAGTAAGTAATGGTGATGTCAGATAACTTTCAAGGTAAGAAATAGTGATAGCAGATAACTTTCTAGGTAAGAGATAATGATGTCAGATAACTTTCTAGGTAAGAAATAGTGGTGTGAAAAGATTGGCACAATAAGAAATATTTTTTTTATATACCATATGAAAGAAAAAGCAACCCAACCCCTCCACAAAACAAAAGTTTATATATTTCTTAATAGTTAACTTAAAGTCCAAGTTTGAATTTGAAATGTTGAAATTATATACTCCCAACAATATCTCCCTGAAAATGATTGTTGTAGTGAATAGAACTTATAATAAATTGAAATAACTATTTAATAAATATTTAGAGAGAAAAAATTGAACTGAGAAGTTATGAAAGGAAATGGATTTAATTTGAGTAAATCCTGATTCATTTGAAGCCTGGGACCATTTTACTGTGACAGCTAAGGGCCCTGTTACAGCTGTAGGACTGTCACAGCTAAATGCACTGTTACAGCTCTAGCACCTTGTTACAGCTGTAGGACACTGTGACAGCTGTAGCACCCTGTCACAGTTGTAGCACCTGTGACAGCTGTAGCACCCTTTGACAGTTGTAGGACCCTGTCACAGCTGTAGGACCTTGTCACAGCTGTAGGACCCTGTGACAGCTTTAGGTCTTTGTCACAGCTGTAGGACCCTATGACAGCTGTAGGACCCTGTCACAGTCGTAGGACCCTATGACAGTTGTAGGACCCTGTCACAGCTGTAGGACCCTGTCATAGCTGTAGGACCCTATGACAGCTGTAGCACCCTGTCACAGCTGTAGCACCCTGTCAAAGTTGTAGGACCCTATGACAGCTGTAGGACACTGTGACAGCTGTAGCACCCTGTCACAGCTGACTGCCCTGTGACAGTTGTAGGACCCTGTGACAGCTTTAAGTCTTTGTCACAGCTGTAGGACCCTGTCACAGCTGTAGGACCCTGTCACAGTTGTAGTACCCTGTGACAGCTTTAGGTCTTTGTCACAGCTGTAGGACCCTATGACACAGCTGTCAGGGCCCTGTCACAGTTGTAGGACCCTGTCACAGCTGTAGGACCCTGTCACAGCTGTAGCACCCTGTCACAGCTGTAGCACCCTGTCAAAGCTGTAGGACCCTATGACAGTTGTAGGACCCTGTCACAGCTGTAGCACCCTGTCACAGTTGTAGCACCCTTTGACAGCTGTAGGACCCTGTCACAGCTCAGGGCCCTGTGACAGCTGTAGCACCATTTGACAGTTGTGGGACCCTGTCACAGCTGTAGGACCTTATCACAGCTGTAGGACCCTGTCACAGCTGTAGCACCCTGTCACAGCTGTAGCACCATGTCATAGCTGTAGGACCCTATTACAGTTGTAGGACCCTGTCACAGCTGTAGCACCCTGTCATAGCTGTAGCACCCTGTCACAGTTGTAGGACCCTGTCACAGCTGTAGCACCCTGTCACAGCTGTAGCACCCTTTGACAGTTGTAGGACCCTGTCAAAGCTCAGGGCCCTGTGACAGCTGTAGCACCCTTTGACAGTTGTAGGACCCTGTCACAGCTGTAGCACCCTGTCACAGTTGTAGGACCCTGTCACAGCTGTAGCACCCTGTCACAGCTGTAGCACCCTGTCACAGCTGTAGCACCCTGTCACAGTTGTAGGACCCTATGACAGCTGTAGGACCCTGTCACAGCTGTAGCACCCTGTCACAGCTGTAGGACCCTGTCACAGCTGTAGGACCCTGTCACATCTGTAGTACCCTGTCACAGCTGTAGGACCCTGTCACATCTGTAGTACCCTGTCACAGCTGTAGGACCCTGTCACAGCTGTAGGACCCTGTCACACACCCTGTCACATCTGTAGACCTTGTCACACGGACCTTGTCACAGCTGTAGCACCCTGTCACATCTGTAGTACCTTGTCACAGCTGTAGCACCCTGTCACATCTGTAGTACCTTGTCACAGCTGTTTACTGACATCTTGTTATCATGATTACAGATGTCCTTGCTTGGTCAGGTGATCTTTACACTCCAGGATTTACTGATGTCACCAGATATGAGGCTTCAACTGGAGTTACAGTAAGTCACTATTAAAACCTAAAGTTACTGAGGATACCACAACTGTTATTTATCTATATAACAATGAAAATCCCCTGAATAGATACAATGTAAAACCCTGACATTTGCCATAAAAACCCAAAAAACATCAAATATTCAGGGTCAATTTCACAATTGCAAAGTGTGATATTTTAGAGGTAAAAATTATTTTTTGTCTTATTTGTCGTAATGAATATATTTGGAGAAATGAACAATGAATAAAAATTGCTTTTTTAATAAAATGAATATTATATTATTAATTTTTAATATGAAACAGTATATTATTTATGATGTTCACATAAAACAATTCAGAATAACTCTTGCTGTTTTTGGAATTTTTATACAAAGGGAGGGGGGAGGTCTATCAGTCTTTACTACCGTCCTATTTTATCATGGTGCATAATTTTGTCAAGCAAGGATCATGAAACTTAATGTATATATTGGTTCTCCTGAGACAATATGCCTTGTACCAAATTCAGGGTCTTTGAGTTAATGCTGTTTGTTAAAAATTCTTGTCTGGAGCATATCTTTGCTTGTATTTAAACCAGGATAATGAAACTTGGTATATACATTGGTCATACTGAGATAATGCGCAGTGTATCAATAGTTCCAGCCTGTGTCTCTTAATTACAGAGTTATTGCCCTTTGTTAAATATTTTTGTGTCCAGAGCACAACTTGGCCTTCATTTAAACCAGGATAATGAAACTTGGTGTATACGTTGGTCATACTAGGATGGTATACAGTGTACCAAATTCAGGGCCTGAAACCCCTTAATTACAGAATCATTGCCCTTTATTAAATTTTTGTGTATACTAAAGGTGTTTTTATATGTGATCTTTATATTCATTTGATTATGGCCAGGGGACTAGCAATGCAGCATCATTGTTTAGCGTACAAAATATTTCAGATGTAAGCAGGGAGTTGTATTGTAAAGCATTCACTTTAAGGCATTGTACAATGAATAGTAATATCTATGTGACACTTGATAAAATAATGTTTAATATAAATGAAACACTTGTCAAGAAAAATGCATGGATTAAATAGACATTCATTAATGCTGAAAATACAATTGTTGTCTGTTGTGGTCAGACCTGGACAGTGGTCAGACCTGGACGGTGATGTTTATCACCTACCATAGATAGGTAATGAACTATATGTCTATTTTACAGAGGTCCAGATCCTGTGATGAATGGCTACGTAACTGTGATGTCATGGATAAACGATGGCAACTTGTCCATCCAGGATTCCCAAAATAGGGTAGGGTTGCATAGCAAACAACACATCCATATATAGGTCACCATTATTAGACAACAACCACCAGTAGGTTTATATAGTAAACAACACATCCATATACAGGTCACCATTATTAGAGAACAACCACCAGTAGGTTTATATAGTAAACAACACATCCATATACAGGTCACCATTATTAGACAACAACCACCAGTAGGTTTATATAGTAAACAACACATCCATATACAGGTCACCATTATTAGACAACAACCACCAGTAGGTTTATATAGTAAACAACACATCCATATACAGGACATTATTGTAGGAAAAAACACCAATTTAACACCTGTTTTTACTGGTAATTTTTATTTGTTTTGACATGTTCTATTTATAGACAGGGGCATCTATATATAGACAGGGGCATCTACAATGTGGTCTTCAGATACTTAAGATGACTTGTGATTTTCCATGAAATAATAATTGATAATGTTTCAGATTCCTAATTTTTATTGATAGATAAATCTTTATCTTCCTAAATTATGGTGTTGAAATCATACAAATCACAATTTGTGGTCTGGTGATCCATGTTGGTGATATGAAATGTGTTGATTTTAATGCAGGTAAGCACTGGTGATGAGAAGCATAGACTGATAGCACTACGTCGCCGTTCAAAGCGAATTGACACATTACGCCCGATGTATAACAATATCACTACTCGAACATTTCGGTTTGACACGACGGATGGAAGTGTGAAACTCTTAGTTCATGAGTACATGGGAGAGAGCAAGCTGTCATTTGACATTCCCTGTCAATTGCTGTAAGTCTAATATCAAGTTCTTGTAATTTCCCAGACCCTGTCAGCTCCTGTAAATTCTATGTCAAGTTCTTGTAATTACCAAGATCCTGTCAGCTCCTGTACATCCTATGTCAAGTTCTTGTAATTCCCAAGATCCTGTCAGCTCCTGTACATCCTATGTCAAGTTCTTGTAATTCCCAAGATCCTGTCAACTCCTGTAAATTCTATGTCAAGTTCTTGTAATTACCAAGATCCTGTCAGCTCCTGTAAATTCTATGTCAAGTTCTTGTAATTACCAAGATCCTGTCAGCTCCTGTAAATTCTATGTCAAGTTCTTGTAATTCCCAAGATCCTGTCAGCTCCTGTACATCCTATGTCAAGTTCTTGTAATTCCCAAGATCCTGTCAGCTCCTGTAAATTCTATGTCAAGTTCTTGTAATTACCAAGATCCTGTCAGCTCCTGTAAATTCTATGTCAAGTTCTTGTAATTCCCAAGATCCTGTCAGCTCCTGTACATCCTATGTCAAGTTCTTGTAATTCCTAAATTCCATGCAAGTCACCATACACCTTATATTACAGGAGGTTATGGGTTATCTGTTAGATTATTATAAACTTGACCCGTAATTTCTCCATACACCTTATATTACAGGAGGTTATGGGTTATCTGTTAGATTATTATAAACTTGACCTGTAATTTCTCCATACACCTTATATTACAGGAGGTTATGGGTTATCTGTTAGATTATTGTTAACTTGACCTGTAATTTCTCCATACACCTTATATTACAGGAGGTTATGGGTTGATGAGGAGAAGGCAAAAATTACTCAGCTTCAGGAACTTGGGCAGGTAAAAACTTTTTTCATCCAATTTTCTTGGCTTCTTTTTATCTTGATACTGTGCAATTATAGTGTTTTTTTTCCCTTAATGTAAAGCTAGATTACTACACTTTGAGAAAATATAGAATATTTGCATGTTGTGCGCATTTGATTTGTATGAAAATTATAAGGTGATATAGACCATGTTTTCTGGAGAAAGTGATGACGGTCATTTTTGGGTTAATAAATTCAACGTTTCCATAAAATGTTGTTTGTTCTGTACAATGTAAAGAAATAAGAACCATGTCACATGTAAGTTCTGATGTTATCAGTTCCGATCATAGGTATTTATATGTTTGACCAGAGAACAGACCTGTTTCCTGAAGAAAACAATGGATTTTTGTTCTGTTTCTTGGTCAATAACTTTGATGTGTCAGGATAAAAAATATGTCAGTTTGTAAACAGTAAATCCTAATGATGGCAGGATGATGCCACCAGTGCCTCGGTCAGAGGAATGTATTAACCTGTATGGCTGTTTACATTTCAGTTGGTACCAATGATAGAAGCTGAGCAAGTATCTCAGATCACAACGAGCGCTGCGACCGTCTCTAAATATATAGACATTCTAAACATGCTGGCTAATTACTCAGGTTGACAGCATTAAACTTTTCTATACATGCTCCTGTAACAGGTGTCAGTTCTTACTCAACTCTGATCAATCAAAACTCTCTTAAAAGTAGTTTTTTTCTGTCTGGGATGACGTCAAAGTCTCCAGCCACATGATGTACAGGTGATGGCTGATTAATTGTCAAGTTTTTTCAGTGATTTTTATTATCTGACATAATTCTTAAAATGATCAAAATTCCTCTTACTTGTTCCTTTAAATCTGTTTGACCACCAAATAAAGCTTCAACAAAGCTATAGGCCTGGAGTTTAGACGTTAGAGTTGATTTTCAGACTGACTGCTGTTACAATAAAAACCTATTTATGATAAAGCTGGTCACACTGTAGTCTTTGCATGATAAGCTATTTATGTACAGTGTATATGCTTCGCCTTTTGAAGATTTCTGTCAAATGGAAAATCTGCTGCAGGCATCCATAGCTGAGAACAAACAGGATCTTCTTGCTTCTGTATAATTTGATTTTTTAACCAAAACCCATGTTGCTATCAAAGTGAGAACTTAATGATTTTAATATGATTTTGGATTTGTAACGTTCTGTAGGTAATGCAGATAAAACCATAGATATATTTATAGATTTTCTGTAAGTGATACAAAAACAGCTTATCAGACAAAATTAACATGTTAATGTGTTGGTCAATATCTGTTTGAAATTGAACTGAAAAAAATATTGTGTAAGTTTTTTGTTAAACTGTAAAATTACAGATTAAAATGTCTTTTTTAAAATTATTTAAAAAAAAAAACAAACTTATGAATGTTAAGGATTGGATTGATGTTAATGGAATCTGGCATTGCTTAATAGTTTTAATTAAGGAGAATCTGATATTTTAACTTTTCCAATCAATGCTTCTTAATCTGAATTCTGAGATAATGAGTATTGTATCTACAGTACAATGGAGTACACAGTCAGTACACAACTTTCAGTGATTCCTTTACAGACCTTGACCAACAACATGGCCACTGATTAGGTATTGGTAGCAGCAACTGTGGTGTGTCAGCTCTGGGTGAATTCATCAGTCACATTGGATATTGGACCATTTTTGGTATAACATAAAGGAAAGCCAAATAATTAATATGATCAGTTGTTCTAGTGGTCAGTTCAAAGAATGCTGGCAACTTCAGGCTTATAGATCTTAGCTGATCTCAAGAAACAGTTTGTACTTCCATGGAAAAGATATATATTGTAAGAGAACTGTGTGATTTGTTTTTATCCTAGAGGGCACCAAACACTTGATGCTTGAGGTTGCTGTAAAACTAACACTGAGTCTGATGCTTTCTCTGTTTTAGTTTCAGCTCATCATACTGGTGTTAGGGACTTAGTGTTGGTAATCTACTAACTCTTTATAAGGATGATCATTGCTAAACATTAACCAACATATCAGACACAGAATGTACATGTGTCACTAGATTCTCGTGATATAACAAACTTTAAATGAAAATATTTAGGATAATTGTTTAAATGTTTCAAATAGATACAAACTATTAGATTTATCTACAGCTGTAGGGCCAGTGAATCCTCAGAAAACTTTTGTTGAATGTGAGACTGGAAAAAAACCTCTTCTTTAAAACAAAACATGACAACTAAAGCAAGGAAAAAATAATGTTAAATCCACAATCAGACTTACAGGTGTACATTGTGAGTCTGACATGATGGTTTTATATTATACAGCTGTCAAGGAAGTGGCAGAGTAACAGACAGGAAGTGTTGGACATGTCAGCTCGCACAGAATCTTACTACTCCCGTCACCTGGTAACACTGTCCTCACACACAGGTACAAAATATCACTACTACCATCACCTGTCCTCACACACAGGTACACAATCTCACTACTCACATCACCTGTCCTCACACACAGGTACATAATCTCACTACTCACATCACCTGTCTTCACACACACTTACATGATCTCACTTACATCACCTGTCCTCACACACAGGTACACAATCTCACTTACATCACCTGTCCTCACACACAGGTACACAATCTCACTACTTACATCACCTGTCCTCACACACAGGTACACAATCTCACTTACATCACCTGTCCTCACACACAGGTACACAATCTCACTACTTACATCACCTGTCCTCACACACATATACACAATCTCACTACTCATGTTACCTGCCTTCACACACACACTTACACAATGTCACTACACACATCACCTGTCCTCACACACACTTACAAAATCTCACTTACATCAACTGTCCTCACACACACTTACACAATCTCACTACTCATGTTACCTATCTTCACACACAGGTACACAATCTCACTACTCACATCACCAGTCCTCACACACACTTACAAGATCTCACTTACATCACCTGTCCTCAAACACAGGTACACAATCTCACTACTCACATCACCTGTCCTCACACACAGGTACACAATCTCAATTACATCACCTGTCCTCATACACAGGTACACAATCTCACTACTCACATCACCTGTTCTCACACACAGGTACACAATCTCACTACTCACATCACCTGTCCTCACACACAGGTACACAATTTCACTACTCATATCACCTGTCCTCACACACAGGTACACAATCTCACTTACTCACATCACCTGTCCTCACACACAGGTACACAATTTCACTACTCACATCACCTGTTCTCACACACAGGTACACAATTTCACTACTCACATCACCTGTCCTCACACACAGGTACACAATCTCACTTACTCACATCACCTGTCCATATTATCAGGTATACAATTTGTAGATTGTGATGCCTGTTATTTGTTTTCTTTACACTTATGAATCTCTCCAGTAAAGAAATACAGGAATGTCTCCTTGTGTTAAGATCCTGAGCTTTTTATTTGTCTGTCAATAAATATGAAAGACCTTGCAGATAAGATATGAATTCAGTAATAGTGATGAAAATTGATAAGGTTGATGAACAATTTCAATGAATAATCCATGACTTGCCTATGTATATAAAGTTTTTTCTTTAACCCCTGTTTTAATTATGCATGTGATAACTGTACTAACCCTGATACTGTTCTTGAGAACTTGGTGTCTTAGCTGCTAATGACACTTATATTTACATTTGTGAATATTCCAATATTATTTAATCATTAACAAACAGTTAATGGGGATGAGTCTTATATTGGAGTTTATTCTGATTTGATTATTAATAAGTTAAAACTGATAAAAAATAAGTTAAATAAAACAGCTATTAATTGTGATGACTGATCAATGTAATATTTGATGAAGTTGTACTGGTTTGGCCTGCTGCAGAATTTTGTATTCACACAGCATGTGTCTGGCACAGCAAATCACCTACACATACAATAACATCCTAACGTTCACATATGGACTGCTGCTAGTGCTGCTTTTAGAGGCATGTAACAAAAATACTTATACAAGTGTGTCAGGTTATCTGGGTCAGCACCAGTGACCTAATTACAGACACATGTCAGCTGAATGTTTTGTATATACCCCTAGTATGTACCCTATCCCTGTTTATATCAATCTTGATTTGTATTAACTCACTGTTAATATCAATCTTGCTTTGTATTAACTCCCTGTTTATATCAATATTGCTTTGTATGAACTCACTGGTAATATAAACATTGATTCATATGAACTCACAAACATTCTGGTGATTTATAATACAAAATCCCCAAGCTGTTGCTGATAAAGTTTGTTTCATTTGATAATTAAAGACTTATTTACCTACTGGTGGTATAATGTCTCTTATGTCATGATCTGAGGTCTTTGGAAGTAAGGCTCTGAGTTAAAAGAATACAACAAACAGAACTGATTTTAAGTTTAACATCGTGATCTCTACTGTAGATTATATATCGTCAGCCTCTATGTAGTTGTTATAGGTCAAAGGTCAGTATATAGTTATGTAAGTAATATGATAAAGATCAGAAGTCTATACAGTTGTATAGTAAGTGATAGATACATACATGAACAATTAATGTAAAAAAGGTTTTATAATATTATGAGATTTATGGAAATTATACACACTTTTATGCTAGTACATCCCATCCCGATTTACGTATGAGTTGGAGTTAACGAGACATTTAGGTTTGAAAAGTACAAGAAACAGCACACTGTGTTTTTGATGACTGGTATGATGGATGGTCTCTTTTTAGATGTGTCAACAGACCAATCACAAAGAGCAAGTCACTGATTGGTTACAAAGAGCAAGTCACTGATTGGTTATGCCGTACCTCATAATCAAGTGATTACTGAATTGGGGCAGAGCTACATTTCACCATTTCACATTCACCTGACATCAAAGACAGTTAGAGTTAATAAACTAAGTCATATATACACACACCAGTACTGACTCTAAACTCAAATGACACATTTACCGACGTAAAAAATCTGAAAAATATTGTTTGAACTAAGGTCAAAGTTAATTATAATGTTGTCTTATATCAAACAATTTCCTTCCAATTACCTTGTAGATGAAAACCATTCCTTTTACCTTGTATGAAAAAAAAATCACATATTGAAAAAAACTTTTTTTACCTCATACTGCCGACTTTGACAAAGTGGGTATTAATACAATGAGAAGTAATTAAGTTACAAGTCATGAGTTATAGTACCAAATGATATACCATTAGGACAGCAATCACAGACACAGATGTATAACTAGGTCTGTGCAGTGATTGAAAATAAATAAATATTTACACTCTATGATCATGTGGAGATTGAAACCTACTGATTGTTTCATATAAATATTGGTTTGAGACATAGCTCTGTCCCAATCCAACAATCACTCAGCCATCATTGCAATCACCAAAGACAGTGTATTATTCCTTGCACTTTTCAAACAATATTCTGTTACCCCAAAGTCAAATTGATTGACATATAAAGGTCAGAAGTCCACACAGTGATGTAGCTTACGTTGTAATGTAAAAAATGAATATTTACAGTCACATGTCTTATATTTTTATGTCGAAGGTCATTATACAGTGTTACTCAAATATGTAAAGGTCAAAGGTCAATGGTCAATATATATTACATTGTCCTGCAACTATGATATGTAATAGGGTGAGGTAAGAAAAACATTTCACTCTCCTTTTCTAGATTATTATTATATAGAACAGTGATGACATTGTAATGTTTTCATTCTCAGAAAATGACAGTAAATTACTTTTACTAACAGTAGGTTTAATAATTCCTGTAAAAATCCATTGAACACTGAGATGATAATGCTGTACACAGTACACCTCTTTGTAAATTCTCTAGTCATGCTGCATGTTTTTTTGCACTGATTGATGCCTGATCCTGTCTGCAAGTCTGATTTTTTAAATTAATTTTAAACATTTTTGAAATCATATAAATTCCATAGATGATAATATCAGAAGTTAAATGAGGTTTCTATCTTTTGTCTTTGCATTTTCACCTACATGATGTTTACTGCTGTATATGAGAGAGTGACTTAGTCTTTTCTGCGTTTGACAGGACCCCATTTTAAACAAAGTGTGAAGAAGGGAGATAAAGACCTAGAATTTGTACCTGTCAACCTACATTTACAACGGATGACTGTCATCAATGAAGCCCACAATAGTAGTGAGTCTTTCTTTTCTGTAGTCAATGAAAGTCTAAAATGTACTCTATAGCTTATCTGGTTTATTATGTATACAGTCGCTGCTTTGTCTGCTGTTGTAATTTTGTCTGGACCATAACACAAAATCTATAAGAGGTATCAACATGAAACGTCATCGGTAGATAGATCTCAACAGGGAAAAGTACAGTGTGCAAGAACCATCACAATTTTTTGAAAATTAAGGAGTTCTTGCCCTTTGTTATTTTTCATGCTTAAATATTGTCTGGAGCATAACACTAAAACTATATGAGGTATCAACATGAAACGTCTTAGGTAGATAGTTCTCAACAAGGAGTAGTGCCATGCTTAAGAATCATCACTCTTTTTTGCATAATTAAGGAGTTATTGCCCTTTGGTATTTTTCATAGTTAGGTTTTGTCTAGAGCATTACACCAAAACAATAAGAGGTATTAACATGAAACTTCCGAGGTAGATAGTTCTCAATAAGTAGGAGGGTGGTGCACAAGAATCATAACTCTCTTGTTGCCTTTTGTCGCAATCAGGGAGCATCACCCATCTCTGATGGCTCTTGGTACAGTTTGAAATCACAGCTGAGGCCAAGTGATGGGTGTTTATCAACATCTGAATGTTTAGGTCATCTGACTGAAGGGTCTGATGACCTATTGCGATCGCATTGTCCGCCAGCGTCCGTCATAAACATTTTCAATATCTTCTCAAGTTCTACATGTCTCATTGAGCTGAAACTTACCTGAAATGATCGTGACATGATCCTGACCAGAGTTAATTTCGGGTTGGTCCAAAATCCAACATGGCTGCAATTTTGAAAACACATTTTCGACTTCTTCTCAAGTTCAAAATTTGAAATCTTGTATTTTATGTGAGATGACCATTAAGGCCCATGGGCCTCTTGTTTTTCTCAAGGATTATCTAACTCCCCAAATTTCATTTTAACGCTGTATCTCTGGTATAACTTTATTAGCTCGCCTGGCTGTAGGACAGGTCAGTGTATGCCATGATGTGGTGATCATCTGTCTGTCATCCATTCTTCAGTTAGACTAGCATATAACTTTTAATCAATGACCAAAGGGCCAAAGGGAAACTTATATTTACAGTACCTTGGCCTACTTTCATTATCAAAGGGGTGAGATGTGTTGAAATCTTTGAATTAAACTTCTTCTCAATAACAAAAAGGTCCAGGGTGCTGATATTGGGCCTGTATTATGCTGGGATGAAGGGCTATCAAATTTGTTCAAAAGATTGAACTTGATCACTGGGTCAAATAAAAAATAAAATAAAAAATAAAATAAAAAATATCTCCCAACAAGTTCTTCTCACTAATAAACAGAAAAAGGCTTGGGGTACTGATATCAGCCTGAAGTATGCTGGCTACCTAGTTTTCAGCCCACCACAATTAGATAGTGGGCTATTCAAACCACCCTCATTTTCCATCCATCTGTGAACAATTCTTCTTAAGCTATTTCTTGAGAACTACAGGATGGATCTCTCTTAAATTTTATTTGTAGGTTCCTTTTGGTCCCTAGTTGTGCCTGATTGATTTTAGGACTTAAAAGAAAAAGAAAATGGTTGTAAGGTTGCCATCTTGGATTTCAAAATTAAACTCTGTTATCATAAACTCTCTTATCACTATTTTGTGAGAAGTCCTGGATGGGTCGTTCTCAAATTTCATGTGATCCCAAGTTGTACCCATTAGATATTTGGAGTGATCTGAAAAACAAAATGGCTGACAAGCAGCCATCTTGGATTTGGCAGTTAAAGATTATTATTGCTGTTTCTGCAAAAGAATGTTCAAATTTCATATGGTTAAGAGCAAAAACAGAGGAGAGAAGACAAAGGAGTGAAAAGGTTAAAGAACAAATAAGGATCAAATAATAATGAGCACCAAGACCTCTCTAGGATGTCTTGTTATATTGTCTCAAGGATAATGGCACCCACAAAATGGTTAATGGCTAATTTAACTGGTGTTATTGTTAACAGCTGGATGGTATGACATCATCACTGTTGGAGCTTTTACTGCATATCCACATAAATATAAACATGGAGGTCTACGTAGAATGCTGCAACAACAACATGACCTTCTATCTGCTGACGCAACCTTGAGCCGCACCACAAAAATACAGCGATCATGTGACTTGGTGAATTCTGTGGTAGATCTAAAAACTGTGATAGGACAGTATTGTGATAAATTATGTCATGTCGCCATGGCAGGGACAGCGGAGGAGCTGAACATCATCATGGAGATGGTATCTGACAAGGTAAGATTTTTGTGTACCCTTACTCTTGAAATGGGTATATGATACTTATATCTCTGTCTGAAAATAGTGGGCACATGTACATCTATGTCTTATCACCATTTTCCATATCACAACTTAGATGATTTATTTCCCTTAGAAAGGGCTGTCAGTGTCCTTCGATTGAAGGGATTTTCGGGAAACCTAAGTTTACACTACCATTCCCGATTTGAGTTTTTAACTTTGTATCTGTTTAATGTTCTATGTATGTGATGTAATTTATGTGACAATTGTGCCTTAATAAAGCAGAAGATTGCCTAAAAAATTTGACAATTCTCTTGTCTGTACTGGTGTTATTAGTTTATTGATAATATATATCTGTATCTATATATACTCTATTTCAAGATTTGTGGTACGAGGGCCGAGAGATAAGTTGTGAGCCTGGTATCGAAGAAGTTAAGCAGGAATTTCCTTTTTTAACTGTACTATTCCCTGACTATTTAAGGCTGTTTACCTGAAGACTGGTGTCATTTGGTCAGTTTAAGTCACACTCTAAAGTAAACAAGGCAAGTGACTTTTGCAAAATGGACAATTGCTGAAAGAGCAGTGATTCAATATTTGCATAAAAAAGTCAAGTACCTAAGTATATCCATACTGATGGTAGCAACAATAGGGATTGATACCCCTTCATATGCTACAATAGATAGGTGGGTGGTGGAAGTGTGATAGGCAGAGCCTTGGTAATGACGCCCGTCCTCGAAAGCCTGTCACTGTTGCAACTCCAGAAATCATCAATAAAGTCCATGATATTGTTATGGCTGGCAAGCAAGTTGCAGAGAGATATATAGCCAGTACAGTTTGGATTTCATAAGAAAGAGTACAATCCATTCTTACAGAAGATCTTGCAATGAGAAAGGTCTGAGGCCATCCTGTACAAAGACTTCTGACAGTTGATCAGAAGCATACAAGGCAGACTTGAATATTGCGATATGTCTGCAAAAGTTAAAACCTTAAATATGAGGCTCACAACTTCTCAATCAATCCTCATATGTTTACACCTCTGTTCTGCTGATGTTGTATGTTTGCCTATGTTTGCTCCAGAAAGCTGTCGGTAACTATAACAAATGAAAGACAGTGTTTATCTCTTGTAAGGTGCGTGATCTAGTCAAGGTTTGTGACAGTAGTCTACTTCAGAAGGCTGCTGTCAGTTACTATAACAAATGAAAGACAGTGTTTATCTCTTGTAAGGTGCGTGATCTAGTCAAGGTTTGTGACAGTAGTCTACTCCAGGAGGCTGCTGTCAGTTACTATAACAAATGAAAGACAGTGTTTATCTCTTGTAAGGTGCGTGATCTAGTCAAGGTTTGTGATAGCAGTCTACTCCAGGAGGCTGTTGACAACTATAACAAATGAAAGACAGTGTTTATCTGTTGTAAGGTGCGTGATCTAGTCAAGGTTTGTGATAGCAGTCTACTCCAGGAGGCTGTTGACAACTATAACAAATGAAAGACAGTGTTTATCTCTTGTAAGGTGCGTGATCTAGTCCAGATTTGTGATAGCAGTCTACTCCAGGAGGCTGCTGTCAGTTACTATAACAAATGAAAGACAGTGTTTTTCTGTTGTAAGGTGCGTGATCTAGTCAAGGTTTGTGATAGCAGTCTACTCCAGGAGGCTGTTGACAACTATAACAAATGAAAGACAGTGTTTATCTCTTGTAAGGTGCGTGATCTAGTCCAGATTTGTGATAGCAGTCTACTCCAGGAGGCTGCTGTCAGTTACTATAACAAATGAAAGACAGTGTTTTTCTGTTGTAAGGTGCGTGATCTAGTCAAGGTTTGTGATAGCAGTCTACTCCAGGAGGCTGTTGACAACTATAACAAATGAAAGACAGTGTTTTTCTGTTGTAAGGTGCGTGATCTAGTCCAGATTTGTGATAGCAGTCTACTCCAGGAGGCTGTTGACAACTATAACAAATGAAAGACAGTGTTTATCTGTTGTAAGGTGCGTGATCTAGTCCAGATTTGTGATAGCAGTCTACTCCAGGAGGCTGCTGTCAGTTACTATAACAAATGAAAGACAGTGTTTTTCTGTTGTAAGGTGCGTGATCTAGTCCAGATTTGTGATAGCAGTCTACTCCAGGAGGCTGCTGACAACTATAACAAATGAAAGACAGTGTTTATCTCTTGTAAGGTGCGTGATGTACTCAAGTGAGCTGAAGGAATACAACTCCAGGAGGCTGCTGTCAGTTACTATAACAAATGAAAGACAGTGTTTTTCTGTTGTAAGGTGCGTGATCTAGTCAAGGTTTGTGATAGCAGTCTACTCCAGGAGGCTGTTGACAACTATAACAAATGAAAGACAGTGTTTATCTGTTGTAAGGTGCGTGATCTAGTCAAGGTTTGTGATAGCAGTCTACTCCAGGAGGCTGTTGACAACTATAACAAATGAAAGACAGTGTTTTTCTGTTGTAAGGTGCGTGATCTAGTCCAGATTTGTGATAGCAGTCTACTCCAAGAGGCTGCCGACAATTACAATGAGGCTAAGATGGAGACATCGCCTCCCCACCAGGATGCCCCTTCTCCTGACTCTCAGAACTCTAGTCCTGGGGACCTTACCCCTGAGAAGGCCTGGAAATGGACTGGAAGCAACTTTGTACAAAGTCCTACAGCTGAACCATGGGTATGTACCTAAAGTTGTCCTACTGTTTCTGACAAGTTTATGTTATAGTGCTGCTAACATCACCTTGTAGAAAAACCTTGGATTGAATTCTTTAAGATTTTAGTTGTTGACACATGAAGGAGGTTATCTTTCACTGTAGAGAAGATTTTATTTCCTTTCATTAAAAACGCAGGTCTCACATCTTTCCTGATTTGTATCTAATTGTATAAGATAAATAATAGTGTTATATATAGTTGATTGAAGACACAAGTCAAAGTTGATGACATACTCTAATGGTGTATTTCAACAGATTGTTCTTTCAGCTGTCATAAATTGTCTAGAGTAACCTTGTAAAATTTTAAAGTTCTGTTTATATTGGAGTGTTGTAATTTGTTGTTGATAATCAAGTGTAGGAATACAAATTTTTATGTATAAATAATTTATTAAGTATTAAAATGTTTCTGATTGCACGGTGAAACTACTGTCCATGAATGGTTGACACCTGTCATTATAAGGAATGATTTGTTGTGAATAAGTTTGACTTTACCCAGTACATGACGTGTACTTGTAGGAAATGACACGTGTCAATACTGAGGCTGCCCTGGTGTGTCTGAGCTCTATGGTTGAGGAACTCATCACTAACAAGGCAGGGCCTATGGACCGTCCTAAATGGCTGGGAGAAATCAGTCCTGGGGTCATTAAATTAAAAAGCTTCATAGAGCTTGTTAGTCAAAGAGTGAAACTCTTCATGTCTTTTCTTAACCTCAGGGTGAGTTAATAAGTTCTTGGGGATTTATCACACTCAGGGTGAGTTAATAAGTTCTTGGGGATTTATCACACTCAGGGTGAGTTAATAAGTTCTTGGGGATTTATCACACTCAGGGTGAGTTAATAAGTTCTTGGGGATTTATCACACTCAGGGTGAGTTAATAAGTTCTTGGGGATTTATCACACTCAGGGTGAGTTAATAAGTTCTTGGGGATTTATCACACTCAGGGTGAGTTAATAAGTTCTTGGGGATTTATCAAACTCAGGATGAGTTAATAAGTTCATATCATTTTATTTAAGAAAAACCTCATAGTGTCTTTATGAATTTATATTCAATTTATAACTGCAGTCAGAGTTCATAATGTGGTTGTAAATACTATGTTTTTGATAGAGAGGGTCTGATAGTATTGATAAGGTATTTTCTGTTACACTGATATATCTGAATTATCAAGGCAGGGTCTAGGTTCTTTTCGACTGGAATCTGTTATGTACATACTCTGTATCTCTGTTCTACTGAGTATGTCTGTTGTCATCATAGTAATATTTGCATCAATAGGACACTGTATCTCTGTTCTACTGAGTATGTCTGTTGTCATCATAGTAATATTTGCATCAATAGGACACTGTATCTCTGTTCTACTGAGTATGTCTGTTGTCATCATAGTAATATTTGCATCAATAGGACAACAAAATCACAGTTTTTGATACATAATAAATCAGAATAAGAGAAAAAACTAAGATTGTGTAAAAATTTGTGTCTTTCAGGAAAATCAAGGACATGTACAGTTAATGCATATGGTTAAATATAGACGGGATGTATGTTTCTCCCACGCTGTAAGTACTTCTCAGCTCCCTGTAAATATAAACCAGATGTATGTTTCTCCATGTTGTAAGTACTTCTCAGCTCCCTGTAAATATAGACCAGATGTATGTTTCTCCCACGCTGTAGGTACTTCTCAGCTCCCTGTAAATATAAACCAGATGTATGTTTCTCCATGTTGTAAGTACTTCTCAGCTCCCTGTAAATATAGACCAGATGTATGTTTCTCCCACGCTGTAAGTACTTCTCAGCTCCCTGTAAATATAGACCAGATGTATGTTTCTCCCACGCTGTAAGTACTTCTCAGCTCCCTGTAAATATAGACCAGATGTATGTTTCTCCCATGCTGTAAGTACTTCTCAGCTCCCTGTAAATAAAGACCAGATGTATGTTTCTCCATGTTGTAAGTACTTCTCAGCTCCCTGTAAATATAGACCAGATGTATGTTTCTCCCATGCTGTAAGTACTTCTCAGCTCCCTGTAAATATAGACCAGATGTATGTTTCTCCATGTTGTAAGTACTTCTCAGCTCCCTGTAAATATAGACCAGATGTATGTTTCTCCATGTTGTAAGTACTTCTCAGCTCCCTGTAAATATAGACCAGATGTATGTTTCTCCCACGCTGTAAGTACTTCTCAGCTCCCTGTAAATATAGACCAGATGTATGTTTCTCCATGTTGTAAGTACTTCTCAGCTCCCTGTAAATATAGACCAGATGTATGTTTCTCCATGTTGTAAGTACTTCTCAGCTCCCTGTAAATATAGACCAGATGTATGTTTCTCCATGTTGTAAGTACTTCTCAGCTCCCTGTAAATATAGACCAAATGTATGTTTCTCCCACGCTGTAAGTACTTCTCAGCTCCCTGTAAATATAGACCAGATGTATGTTTCTCCATGTTGTAAGTACTTCTCAGCTCCCTGTAAATATAGACCAGATGTATGTTTCTCCATGTTGTAAGTACTTCTCAGCTCCCTGTAAATATAGACCAGATGTATGTTTCTCCATGTTGTAAGTACTTCTCAGCTCCCTGTAAATATAAACCAGATGTATGTTTCTCCCACGCTGTAAGTACTTCTCAGCTCCCTGTAAATATAGACCAGATGTATGTTTCTCCCACGCTGTAAGTACTTCTCAGCTCCCTGTAAATATAGACCAAATGTATGTTTCTCCTATGCTGTAAGTACTTCTCAGCTCCCTGTAAATATAGACCAGATGTATGTTTCTCCATGTTGTAAATACTTCTCAGCTCCCTGTAAATATAGACCAGATGTATGTTTCTCCCACGCTGTAAGTACTTCTCATCTCCCTGTAAATATAGACCAGATGTATGTTTCTCCATGTTGTAAGTACTTCTCAGCTCCCTGTAAATATAGACCAGATGTATGTTTCTCCCACGCTGTAAGTACTTCTCAGCTCCCTGTAAATATAGACCAGATGTATGTTTCTCCATGTTGTAAGTACTTCTCAGCTCCCTGTAAATATAGACCAGATGTATGTTTCTCCATGTTGTAAGTACTTCTCAGCTCCCTGTAAATATAAACCAGATGTATGTTTCTCCCACGCTGTAAGTACTTCTCAGCTCCCTGTAAATATAGACCAGATGTATGTTTCTCCCATGCTGTAAGTACTTCTCAGCTCCCTGTAAATATAGACCAAATGTATGTTTCTCCTATGCTGTAAGTACTTCTCAGCTCCCTGTAAATATAGACCAGATGTATGTTTCTCCCATGCTGTAAGTACTTCTCAGCTCCCTGTAAATATAGACCAGATGTATGTTTCTCCCACGCTGTAAGTACTTCTCAGCTCCCTGTAAATATAGACCAAATGTATGTTTCTCCCATGCTGTAAGTACTTCTCAGCTCCCAGTGAATATAGACCAGATGTGTGTTTCTCCCATGCTGTAAGTACTTCTCAGCTCCCTGTAAATATAGACCAGATGTATGTTTCTCCATGTTGTAAGTACTTGTCAGCTCCCAGTGAATATAGATTGGACATGTGATTCTCCCACATTGTAATTTCAGTTCATTTCTTTGAAATATAGATGGGATGTGTTTTTCTCCCTCACTGCAAGTACAAGTTCATTTTTTTGTCAAAGTATATTACTGAAGAATTGATGGTATATGTCCTTGCATATACACTGGGCACAAAGTTAGGAATCACAGAAAACATCATATATGTTTATGATCCTTAACATTTTATGACCAGTGTATATCGCACTCCTGTGAGTTTTTATATCCCTGCCTTTTTATTGCGGTCATATAGTGGTACCCACATCCATCAGTACAAGTTAATCTTGTGAAGTGGCATCCTGTCCCGTCCCATACCATCCAGGTCTTTATGATTGTTGTATCGTGAGAACCTCTATACACTTTCTGTTCATGTTGTCTACAACATGGGTGGTCATCAATTAAGGTTAAAGGGTCAAAGGTTGTATCAAGCCACTTCTGTTAATTCCTTTAACATTTACATGCCTGAGCACAGGAGCATTAATGTTTTACATACCTTTTTAGGTCACCTGAGATGAAGTCTCAAGTTACCTATTGCAGTCATCTTTTTTCCAGCTTCATACATATTGTGTCTACTTACATTTTCAACATCTTCTTAATAACCAGAAGACCCAGGGTCATGGTATTGAGCCAGTAGCATGCTGGGATGAAGATCTACCAAGTTTGTTCAAATGAATGACCTATCAAGGTCACAGCGGTCAAATGTGTTAAAATATCTAAATAACTTCTTCTTAAGAACCGAAAGGTCCGGGGTCATGATATTAGGCCAGTTGCATGCTTGGAAGAAGAGCTATTATGTTCTAAAACTGTCCAAAGACCTGATGACCTCAGGTGACCTGGTCTCTTTTTTTAACTTTGTAATAAATCAACACTTTTAACCTCACATTTCTAAAGTCACTTACGATGATTCTACTTTTAGCTGACATCGCTAGTGGCAGGCTTTACCATTAAACTAGCAACCTGTGATAATGATAAGCTGTACTTCAAACAACTTCTCAATGTTGGAGTATTTGCGGAGTTTGAGGGTCTCCTTAGTTGCTATGGTGATGAGATGGGCATGCTTGAAGATATGACAGTTGCATTGGAAGATCTCAGTCATGTGACTTTCCATTTTTTCCTTCAAACAGAATACGAACAATCACCAGTCATATCATCAGACAGGTCAGTTTATTTTCAGTTACTTTTGTAAAATTGCAGCGATACAGGAAAATCACAGAAGATTTTTGAAATAGGTGAATTTTGACATACAACAAAAGTAGTAAATGTGATATAAAATGTGTTAGAATTTGCAATGAATAGATTAAATCATTGAAGAGATTAAGCCCCACAGATCTCTATATAAAGATTATGATAGATTAATTACTTCATACAGAGAGAGCTGAAGGTCAAAGAGAAATAAGACAAAACACTGGAATGTTAACAAAATACCAAGCCTGAAAAATTACAAGGTACAGATAAATTACCTGAGAGATTACTAGATACAGATATAGGACCTGAGAGATTACTAGATACAGGTATAGGACCTGAGAGATTACTAGATACAGATATAGGGCCTGAAAAATTACAAGGTACAGATAAATTACCTGAGAGATTACTAGATACAGATATAGGACCTGAGAGATTACTAGATACAGGTATAGGACCTGAGAGATTACTAGATACAGATATAGGACCTGAGAGATTACTAGATACAGATATAGGACCTGAGAGATTACTAAATACAGATATAGGACCTGAGAGATTACTAGATACAGATATAGGGCCTGAAAAATTACAAGGTACAGATAAATTACCTGAGAGATTACTAGATACAGATAAATTACCTGAGGGATTACTAGATACAGATATAGGACCTGAGAGATTACTAGATACAGATATAGGGCCTGAAAAATTACAAGGTACAGATAAATTACCTGAGAGATTACTAGATACAGATATAGGACCTGAGAGATTACTAGATACAGGTATAGGACCTGAGAGATTACTAGATACAGATATAGGACCTGAGAGATTACTAGATACAGATATAGGACCTGAGAGATTACTAAATACAGATATAGGACCTGAGAGATTACTAGATACAGATATAGGGCCTGAAAAATTACAAGGTACAGATAAATTACCTGAGAGATTACTAGATACAGATAAATTACCTGAGGGATTACTAGATACAGATATAGGACCTGAGAGATTACTAGATACAGATATAGGACCTGAGAGATTACTAGATACAGGTATAGGACCTGAGAGATTACTAGATACAGATAAATTACCTGAGAGATTACTAGATACAGATATAGGACCTGAGAGATTACTAGATACAGATATAGGACCTGAGAGATTACTAGATACAGATATAGGGCCTGAAAAATTACAAGGTACAGATAAATTACCTGAGAGATTACTAGATACAGATATAGGACCTGAGAGATTACTAGATACAGATATAGGACCTGAGAGATTACTAGATACAGATATAGGACCTGAGAAATTACTAGATACAAATATAGGACCTGAGAGATTTCTAGCTACAGATATAGGGCCTGAGAGATTACTAGATACAGATATAGGGCCTGAGAGATTACTAGATAGAGATATAGGATCTGAGAGATTACTATATACAGATATTGCACCTGAGAGATTACCAGATACAGATTTAGGATTTGAGAGATTTCTAGATACAGATATAGCACCTGAGAGATTACTTGATACAGATATAGGGCCCGAGAGATAACAAGATAATATATGAGGTATTTTATTAGTAGGATTGTGTGTAATTCTTGTAATTTTCTGTTTCAGTCACCTTATATCTGGCATGTATGCAGACTTTAATAGGTGAGATTTTTATTTCTTCAGTTTCCTATAAAATGCCAAGATTTTTAAATAGAGAACTTTTACCATATTAAAAGTAGTTGTCTTTGATGACGAGGATGAATTGGGTGATTTTTCTAACTGGTCGTAAGAATGATGATGGGGAAAAATGTACATTTCCTTGTCGGGTTTCTGACACAGATTTTTAAACAATTTTTGGCCGAGTTGCACATAGTTATAGTATGGTGAATGTCGGGTGGGCGACCGGGTGGGCGGATGGGGAAAAGGGGTACCAGTTTTGTAGAATCAACTCCTCCTAAAGTTTTTGACGTAGAAGCTTGAAACTTTGTAGGAGGTTTATACATATGTTGAAGATTTGCACCTCGTAGTATGGATTTATTCCGGACATTTGTCTGGATTTTCCAGGCTTTGGAACTTAGTCATTTTCTGAAACTTTTCTTGTTTTCACAGTTTCTCAGAAACTACTACAAGAATCTTTCCGAAATTCCACATATAAATCACCTTGGGGCCCTAGATGTCCATTGTCTGTTTTTTTAACATCTCTGAATCAAAAATGGCTGCAACATCTTTCTTCAAATGCCCTTCTTCTGCACCAATTCATAAGATACAACCAAACTTTCTCTCTTATAACAAATATTCTACATACTCAACAAACGAGACATCCTTAACTATCTTATAAATACCATAGAACATTGCATTCATCCTGCAAGCCGGCCAATTGTGGCTTTGCCCCATTTATTTAAAATGTGAAAACATTTAACCATGATATTTATCTCTTTACTAATAAAAGAAAACAATTTCAATCCAATTCTTCAATATGACACCCTATACATATGCTTGTACGTTATATGCAAACAAGCTGACTTTAACAGACTTTCCAAAAGTTAATATTGAAGTGACATGATATTTACCCGATTAAGTTGACAGCAGGCGATGTAACCAGTTTACTTAATCAGTGATTGTTTCTGTTTCAGACGTCGGATTAGAGTAGAGGTTCCTTTACCTGAAGTTGTGTTTAAGAAACTTCCCGAATTATTGGCTCAAGGGGAGGCAATCCATGTTACCCCAGTACTGTTTAATGTAGGAATCAATGAACAGGCATCGCTGGCTGAAAGGTTAGTATAAGTGAACGTTTTCTAAGTAGTGAGTTAATATTAGACTGATTTAACCCAAAACTGATAAGGACAATAAAAAGTGGCTCTGTTTCTTTGTGTACGTGGATCTACCTGTGAAAGCCAAAATTATTGAAACCTGTGAAAGTTAACGTCGTGAAACTTTGCACATATACATTGGACCCTCAGTAATCCTCATACCCAGATAGGTCATACAGAGTAATGTCCCTTTAGAACATAATGGTAGAAATTTGACTGTTAATGAGATAATATTAGTCTCCCATCGGGAAGTGAAGTGGAGGGGAGGGCAGGGTCTTTGAATTGCGATTGTCTGTCTTTCCATTATCTTGTCCAGGCTCAACTCCTATACAACTTTATCAAATTTCATAATTAGAGAATAAGTTCACCTTGGTAAGGTGTCAAATGTCAAAGATACATTGAATGGAATCATGTTACATCCTAGTTTAAGAATTTTTCAGATACTGCATCCCCAGTGAAACCAAAAAAACATCAAAAATTTTGTTGTGTTGTGTATGTTAGAGATATTGTACACCAGTTTTAATGTATCTGTACCAAACCTTTCCTCATGTTTCATGACACAACTGTATAATTATATCATTCCCAGGTTTGGTGACACAACTGTTTAATTATAAGACCCCCAGGTTTGGTGACACAACTGTTTAATTATAAGACCCCCAGGTTTGGTGACACAACTGTTTAATTATATGACCCCCAGGTTTGGTGACACAACTGTTTAATTATATGACCCCCAGGTTTGGTGACACAACTGTTTAATTATATAACCCCCAGGTTTGTTGACACAACTGTTTAATTATATGACCCCCAGGTTTGGTGACACAACTGTTTAATTATATGACCCCCAGGTTTGGTGACACAACTGTTTAATTATATAACCCCGAGGATTGGTGACACAACTGTTTAATTATATAACCCCGAGGATTGGTGACACAACTGTTTAATCATATGACCCCTATGTTTGGTGACACAACTGGTTAATCATATTACTCCCAAGTTTGTTGACACAACTGTTTAATTATAAGACCCCCAGGTTTGGTGACACAACTGTTTAATTATACGATCCTCAGGTTTGATGACACAACTGTGTAATCATATAACCCCGAGGATTGGTGACACAACTGTTTAATTATACGATCCCCAGGTTTGATGACACAACTGTGTAGTCATATAACCCCTTGGTTTGGTGATACAACTGTATAATTATATCATTCCAAGGTTTGGTGACACAACTGGTTAATTGTACGATCCCCAAGTTTGGTGACACAACTGTTTAATTAGGTTTGGTGACACAACTGTTTAATTATATGACCCCTAGGTTTGGTGACACAACTGTTTAATTATATGATTCCCAGGTTTGGTGACACAACTGTTTAATTATATGACCCCTAGGTTTGGTGACACAACTGTTTAATTATACGACCCCTAGGTTTGGTAACAAAAGTGTTTAATTATATAATTACCAGGTTTGGTGACACAACTGTTTAATTATATGACCCCTATGTTTGGTGACACAACTGTTTAATTATACGATCCCCAGGTTTGATGACACAACTGTGTAATCATATTACCCACAGGTTTGGTGACACAACTGTTTAATTATATGACCCCCAGGTTTGGTGACACAACTGTTTAATTATATGACCCCTAGGTTTGGTGACACAACTGTTTAATATAAAGTGTTTAGTACAACTGGCCATGTTAGGAGTTTAATTATCATTACCAGGTTTAAGGACAAGTTTAATTATATGTTTGGGACAGATGTTTAATAAACTGGAAGAAATACCTGGCCATGTTAGGAGTACAGGTGGTAACATAGAACAAGGTGTTTAGTTACAAGGTGTATAATACCTGGCCATGTTAAGGAGTACAGGTGGTAACATACAAGGTGAACAAGGTGTTTAGTTACAAGGTGTTATACCTGGCCATGTTAGGAGTACAGGTGGTAACATAGAACAAGGTGTTTAGTTACAAGGTGTTATCCCTGAGCCAGGTGGTAATGTAGGATGAGGTGTTTAGTTACAAGGTGTTATACCTGGCCATGTTAGGAGTACAGGTGGTAATGTAGGATGAGGTGTTTAGTTACAAGGTGTTATACCTGGCCATGTTAGGAGTACAGGTGGTAACATAGAACAAGGTGTTTAGTTACAAGGTGTTATACCTGGCCATGTTAGGAGTACAGGTGGTAATGTAGGATGAGGTGTTTAGTTACAAGGTGTTATACCTGGCCATGTTAGGAGTACAGGTGGTAATGTAGGATGAGGTGTTTAGTTACAAGGTGTTATACCTGGCCATGTTAGGAGTACAGGTGGTAACATAGAACAAGGTGTATAGTTACAAGGTGTTATACCTGGCCATGTTAGGAGTACAGGTGGTAACATAGAACAAGGTGTTTAGTTACAAGGAGAAATACCTGCCATGTTAAGAGTACAGGTGGTAATATAGGATGAGGTGTTTAGTTACAAGGTGTTATACCTGGCCATGTTAAGAGTACAGGTGGTAACATAGAACAAGGTGTTTAGTTACAAGGTGTTATACCTGGCCATGTTAGGAGTACAGGTGGTAACATAGAACAAGGTGTTTAGTTACAAGGTGTTATACCTGGCCATGTTAGGAGTACAGGTGGTAATGTAGGATGAGGTGTTTAGTTACAAGGTGTTATACCTGGCCATGTTAGGAGATCAAGGTAAGGAGAAGTGATATTGTAGGACGAGATGTTTAATAAACTGGAAGAAATACCTGGCCATGTTAGGAGTACAGGTGGTAACATAGAACAAGGTGTTTAGTTACAAGGTGTTATACCTGGCCATGTTAAGAGTACAGGTGGTAACATAGAACAAGGTGTTTAGTTACAAGGTGTTATACCTGGCCATGTTACAAGGTGTTTAGTTACAAGGTGTTATACCTGGCCATGTTAGGAGTACAGGTGGTAACATAGAACAAGGTGTTTAGTTACAAGGTGTTATACCTGGCCATGTTAGGAGTACAGGTGGTAATGTAGGATGAGGTGTTTAGTTACAAGGTGTTATACCTGGCCATGTTAGGAGTACAGGTGGTAACATAGAACAAGGTGTTTAGTTACAAGGTGTTATACCTGGCCATGTTAAGAGTACAGGTGGTAACATAGAACAAGGTGTTTAGTTACAAGGTGTTATACCTGGCCATGTTAAGAGTACAGGTGGTAATGTAGGATGAGGTGTTTAGTTACAAGGTGTTATACCTGGCCATGTTAGGAGTACAGGTGGTAATGTAGGATGAGGTGTTTAGTTACAAGGTGTTATACCTGGCCATGTTAGGAGTACAGGTGGTAATGTAGGATGAGGTGTTTAGTTACAAGGTGTTATACCTGGCCATGTTAGGAGTACAGGTGGTAATGTAGGATGAGGTGTTTAGTTACAAGGTGTTATACCTGGCCATGTTAGGAGTACAGGTGGTAATGTAGGATGAGGTGTTTAGTTACAAGGTGTTATACCTGGCCATGTTAGGAGTACAGGTGGTAATGTAGGATGAGGTGTTTAGTTACAAGGTGTTATACCTGGCCATGTTAGGAGTACAGGTGGTAAATGTAGGATGAGGTAATGTAGGATACAAGGTGTTTAGTTACAAGGTGTGGTTATACCAGGTGGTAATGTAGGATGAGGTGTTTAGTTACAAGGTGTTATACCTGGCCATGTTAGGAGTACAGGTGGTAACATAGAACAAGGTGTTATACCTGGCCATGTTAGGAGTACAGGTGGTAATGTAGGATGAGGTGTTTAGTTACAAGGTGTTATACCTGGCCATGTTAAGAGTACAGGTGGTAATATAGGATGAGGTGTTTAGTTACAAGGTGTTATACCTGGCCATGTTAGGAGTACAGGTGGTAACATAGAACAAGGTGTTTAGTTACAAGGTGTTATACCTGGCCATGTTAGGAGTACAGGTGGTAACATAGAACAAGGTGTTTAGTTACAAGGTGTTATACCTGGCCATGTTAGGAGTTGGTAATGTAGATGAGGTGTTTAGTTACAAGGTGTAATACATGGCCATGTTAGGAGTACAGGTGGTAACATAGGTGAACAAGGTGTTATAGTATATCAAGGTGTGAACCCTAGCTAATGTGTTCTCATTTGTTATAGCAATTTTTATGAATGATGTAACATGATTTTGCCAGAAACAGATGTAAGAGCTAGGCACTAGTCATGTTCATGGTGATACACAGGGTGATTTGTCACTTTGGTCCTGTTTCGTTTGTTAAATTTTATGATAAAACTTCATGATTTATGTCCCTTTTTTCATGTTGATCTTATCGTGATTCAATCTTGGTCAAATTTGTTAACTATACAGATGTTAATATTTATAGCTGTGTGTCTACATATTTGTATTTATAAATATTTAAAAGTGGTGATTAGGCTTGCATAATAGTATAATAGGTCATATCTTATTCTGGTTGTAAAAGGTTACATCACTAACATGTTGTTTAGATGCTGACTTCTGATCTCAAGCCTATTGATCAGGGAACGGTTTACCCCCATGTGTCCGGTATATAGGTGTGTTATGTTAATCAGGTCTGAATGGTTCAAACCATCTACAATTTTGTCTCGGTCATGGTTGCTAGACAGGATTCCTCTCTATAACTAAAACATGAAAGTTTAGCAACCTGTGTATGAATCAACATTCAGACAATGTTTTATAGAGTTTACAAAAGATTAGAGCAATAGCTATGAATGATACATTGATGGAGAAATAGAACTTTTTTCTAAATTGTACAGAATCATTTCATTGTTGTCAGCTGAGTATTTTCCCCAGCAACTTAATTATCCAGCATATTTACAATGGCTGTCACAATACAGATACTCTCTAGACATCATGGCAATCTCGAGAGAGTTTACGTTTTGGTAGGTTAAAAAACGAGAATTCTGGAGAGATTCTGTTTAGTGGCTGCCATTGTAAAATGTTTAAATGTTTGACATCAATTTATATAAACATATGTCAAGTGTCCTAGTAAATTTGCCTGGTATTTCTTGGGATTGCAAAGCAAATCACCAGCAAAATCAACATAGAGAATCTAAAGTTTTTGCCAAAATGTAGTAAAAAAAGTAAGGGCAGTAGCAAAGAAAATAAGGATAGTCAGGAAATGAAAAAAAACACATACTTTTCCTCTTGGCCTTGTGATAAAAAAGTCAACTATTTGGATACAAAAATCATCTTTTGTTCTTTTGTCAAGGTCGTTCATACATAAGTGTACTACTCGATACTGTGCAGCGAGTGATGGTATTTATGTCGTATAGACATTTGTTAATTAAAAAATGATATCAATTTTCAGTAGTTTTTGTACTGAATTGATCTGTCTCAGATTTTATATGTGGTCTCCTCTTTCATCTTTGTTACATATTTTCAGTTTAATGTCTCGTTGAAAAACCAAATGGTTGACACACAGCCATCTTGGATTTTGACAGTTTTACTGCAGCAGTTGCTTAGAAGTACTGGATATGTAATTTTCAGATTTCATTTGTGGGTTCCTCTTGACCCCATGTTGTGTATGTTTAATATTTTATACTGATCATGATTTAACATCAAATGAAAATACCCTCAGGTAGCCATTTTGAATTTTTAAAATTTAATTTGTTGTAGCAGTATCTGTAGAAATGAATCATCTCCTGTTTTTAGTCATGTATTCACCAAGTCCCTTATGTATGATCTGTTCTACTGATCTGATCGTAAAATAAATCAAAATGGCCAACAAAACCGCAAATCAAGGAAACAAGAAAGATTTACCCCCGGAAAATGGAAAAAATCAGACTTATAATGTAGAACCTGTGAAGGGAGCCAAAATACCCCGGGGGACCTCTTGTCATATTCATGGGGAGAGAGTAAATGGAAGGAATCAAACATTTTCAATTTGAAGTTACATAGGTGGCTATGTAGGCCCATTGGGCCTGTTGACACATATCGTTTTGTAATGAATAGATTTGTGATCTGATACATAGATCAGATATATGATGCACAGATCCCACTTTCACACACAGAGTTTACTGTTACTGCTAAGAAGGAAAGGAATATTGATTAATTGAGCAAACATATAATGTGTGTAGGAGATAAAAGAGCTGATGGCGTTGATGAAAATAGCTTGATGTCACGAAATATCTTGGCATGGTAGACAACAAACGAGAAAATAGCTTTGTCTGGATGTGGTGATAAATTACTGGAGTATACCTTGTATACAACAGTGATAGAAGTATATAAAGGAGGACAGGGTCAGGAAACATTGCCATTGAAAAATAATTAATCAGGTTGTAAAAGTGATGAACTAAGATATTGTGTCACATTGTCATGGTTACCACGGTGATGATTAAGTGTTCAGCCCTGAAGTCGTAGTTTGTTTGTCAATGCTGTGATCAGGAATCTTATGTTTTTTTCTACGTCTGTGGGCATGTCTCCTAAAATATCTATGAAATATACTTACATTTAGTGTCAGGAACATGTCTATTATTATCAAGAATACGCATATATGTACACTGTTCTCACTGTGAAACTGTCAGATGTTATAAAACCTGCTGATATAATCTGGGGGTTTATCATCAGGTTTTTTTCTATGTCAGTGACTACAGTGAGCAGAGTAAACATGTCAACCTTGTTCTTGTTCATTTTTAATGATTTCAGTAGTTAATTGGTAAATCTGCCAATTATTTCCTTATGATATTAAAGATTAGGTCTGATAATATATTTATCTGTTGTAGATACTGTGTAGTTACACATCAAAAAGTAAAAAGTGTATATATCTGAAAAAACCAGTTAGTGAGATAGTTATAAAATCTGAAAAGTATTTATCATTGATATAAACAAGAAGTCAGTTATAAAATTGAAAAATAGATGTTTTTATCATTAATACCAACAATAAGTCAGTTATAAAACTGAAAAATATTTGTTTCTAACAAAAAGTCAGTTATAAAACTAAAAAATATTTGTTTTTATCATTTATATCAACAATGAGTTGGTTATAGAATTGAAAACATATGTATTTATCCTTTCTTTTGACAATTAGATAGTTACAATTGAAGATCGACTAATTTGTCAATATGGTTCTTCATTAAAAAGAGAAGAAAAATATATATCAGTTAAATGAGATATTGATCCTTATTGACTGACAGATAAATGATTCACATTTTGAATTTGTACGGGTTAAGGTATATAGATAATTCAACACCTACAAGTATGTGAATTGTTTATGAGAGGAGCCGCACAACAGTTATTTAAGGGATGGGAGAGGAAATTACAGATGTATTAGACTTTTCATGCCTTAGATTAAAAGTTTTGGTGCAGGTGTTGAACTGCTATCATATATTGTTCGTAAAACATGTACTAGTATAGACCAATGGCTACAGGTATGATACTGTTGATATAGACTTGTGGCCTCTATGGGAAATGAAAGTAGAAATAAAAGAAAGAAAAATAGTCTAGAAATTTCAGATGTGTTTACTTCTCAGCTGTCTCTGCACAAAACTGTGTTAGTTTAAAGTGATTCAGTGTATATATCACCTGTCTTTTTTATATGACATTGGGGACAAAATTGCTATATACTTTGGAAGTCACTAGAGTAGGTAAATGTCACCTTACACCAGGAGTGGTTTACTAAAATATACATTTTAAGTAAGGGAACCCATTTCAATATACAAACAGTAGATATGTACACACAACGTATATGTAAATACAACATACAAATACACAACAAAACCATGTTCATATCACAAATATGTAGACACAACATACATGTACATATCACACATATGTACACACAACCTACATGTACATATCACAAATATGTACACACAACCTACATGTACACAACAAACAAAACCATATACATATCACAAATATGTACATACCACATACATGCACATATCACAAATATGTACATACAACATACATGTACATATCACAAATATGTACATACAACATACATGTACATATCAAAAATATGTACATACAACATACATGTACATATCAAACAAAACCATGTACATATCACAAATATGTAGACACAACATACATGTACATATCACTCAAAACATTGATATATGTTCATATCACAAATATGTACATACAACATACAAATACACAACAAAGCCTTATACATATCACAAATATGTACACACAACATACATGTACATATCACAAATATGTACACACAACATACATGTACATATCACAAATATGTACACACAACATACATGTACATATCACAAATATGTACACACAACATACATGTACATATCACAAATATGTACACACAACATACATGTACATATCACAAATATGTACACACAACATACATGTACATATCACAAATATGTACACACAACATACATGTACATATCACAAATATGTACATACAACATACATGTACATATCACAAATATGTACATACAACATACATGTACATATCACACACAACATACATGTACATGTCACAAATATGTACACACAGTGTGCCTATGCTTAGCTAGTAAATATACACTCAGTGTTGAATGAAAAAGATTATTTTCCAGGTTTATTTGATAACAGTAAACTTATAATGTTACTATGCTCTTTGCTAAGTTACAAATGTTATGTTTTGGTTTCTAAGACTTCTTTATTTCCAGATAACAGAGGAGGAAGTGGGTCCTTGACAGATTTGTGTACTAAACTACACTACAATGTTAACACTAAGAAAAACAAGAATACTGAGATTCTCAGCCTTGCTGCTGAGGTAAGCTTACATCAGTTTAGTTGTCTGATCAATTTATCAGAAATCTACTTACTTTGTCCCGATTTACACAATTTATAGCTAGAATTCTGTCATATTTCACAAAATATATTCTGATTTTGTCAATTTGTGATATATATGTATTTAGATTTCTTACCAATTTCAGATTGATCAATGAATCTGATTCCTATCATTTTTTTGTAGATTTGTAGAAAGCTGCGAGGAATTCGATTCACCAGCTGTAAAAGTGCCAAGGACCGGACAGCCATGTCTGTTACGTTAGAACAAGTAAAGAACCTCCAGCAGGAACACGACCTTGCCTCCCATGTGTTTTCACAGGCTCTCGACTGTTTCAGAAGGTCTGTTACTTTATTTCAGTCAGGCATCCTTTTCATCTGTTAATATATATATGATATTATATATACCAGAGCTATGGGAGCTTACTGTCTGTGAGTGATTACTGAGGTAAATTTGTAGAAATCAGACAATTCTGCATCAAATTTGAGGTTAATTTTTGTAATATTCTGTGGTCTCGATTGGTCGACACAATGAAATCTGTGAGTGTATGTATGAGGGGGTGGTGTGGACATGTTATGCAGTATATATACACCAGAAATAGTCATTCTATACTATATACAGACAAGGACCAGTTAGAAAGGGGTTGAGGGGCAGGGTTGGACATGTTATACTGTATATATAAACCAGAAATAGTCATTCTACATTCCATACAGACAAGGACCAGTTAGAAAGGGGATGAGGGGCAGGGTTGGACATGTCATACTCTATATATTGAGAAGATAAGACTCTGCACTTGTGTTTGATGCTGTTTGTATTTGTTCTTTGCAGTGAGGGAGTAAGAAGGGAGAACACATACAAGAACGTTGGTGTAAAGAAATATGCATTCAATGCTTTACAGCTCATGTACTTCCCAAAACAATACCGACCACCAAATGGTACATATGGCAATGTACAAGGGTAAATCTGTTGTTATGGTTACAACACCGACAAAGGATTATAGTAGTAATGACTCCTGGACCAGTGACACTGAATTTGGCCATTTATTTTTGTATTAATTCTACATATGTTCACTGTGTGATATTTCAGCACTTCATCTTGCTTAATTCTGTCCATCTATGTTACTGTAATGATGTGCCATTAAAGAGAAATTCATGTAATATTTCAAAAGCTATGATTTTTTTCAATAAATTGCAAACCATTAATAAGTATTCCTATACATGTCTGTAAAAACCAGTTTTTGATATCAACTGTTATCGTGTTGAGAAGATGGTTGTCATTCTTTCTTTGTCTTACACCTCTGTGTTATTGTTAGTGTATTGACTTCATGTCTCTTTGTGTAAAGCATCTAGCATGTAATATGGTGTACCAGTTAATTGAAAAACTGTCAGTTATAAGCACTATAAATGCCATCACAAGACATTTCATTGCTTTTATCTATATTACATACCCATATTATCTTTATTCTTTTTTTCAATATTTTATTCCTAATTGACAGTGTAATCTTAAATCAAACAACCGTTTTGACAGTAAACTAACTTAATTCAAACAACCGTTTTGACAGTAAACTAACTTAATTCAAACAACCGTTTTGACAGTAAACTAACTTAATTCAAACAACCGTTTTGACAGTAAACTAACTTAATTCAAACAACCGTTTTGACAGTAAACTAACTTAAATCAAAACACCCTTTTGACAGTAAACTAACTGAATTCAAACAACCGTTTTGACAGTAAATTAACTTAATTCAAACAACTGTTTTGACAGTAAACTAACTTAATTCAAACAACCGTTTTGACAGTAAACTAACTTAATTCAAACAACCGTTTTGACAGTAAACTAACTTAATTCAAACAACCGTTTTGACAGTAAACTAACTTAATTCAAACAACCGTTTTGACAGTAAACTAACTTAATTCAAACAACGGTTTTGACAGTAAACTAACTTAATTCAAACAACCGTTTTGACAGTAAACTAACTTAATTCAAACAACCGTTTTGACAGTAAACTAACTTAATTCAAACAACTATTTAGACAGTGAACTTTCTTAATTAAAGCAGCCATTTTGACTGTGAACTGACACCATTTCTATGTCCACGTATAAAATTAACATCATGGTCATACTCTGGGTGTCTTTAAAGATGTCATAAATAAGACTTCACTCTGGTTAGTTTATACAGTGATGTTGCTGTGAAGATGTTTAAATTGGATATTTATATCCATTTAACAAGCACCATGATATTAATGCATCAATTGGCCAGGTGGAAATTCTTTACCTTTTTATTTACTCCTTATCCTCAAATACTAATCTCGATTTAATATCTATAAGCATAATTGTGTTTCTATCTAATGTTCAAAGCTATTTTTGTGGATTCATTATATTGTGTTAAGGTACCTGTTCACAAATGTAGAGTTTGGATAGGAAATAATGTTGCTAGGTAACTATAGAAAAAGAAATTGATTTTCAGCAAATCAAAGGCTCAAGCTACAGTCATTATTAATATTGCCAGCAATGTTACCATGGTGATTTTGCTGATTTACCTTGATATTACTTTTAAATGTTGTGCTGATGTTAATTACAACAATTAATACATTGATCTTTTTCAGTAGAGATGGCAATATGTGTTTTTAAATTTTACAAGAAATAAATGTGTTTCCCATGAACAAGTAGACATTGCCAAGTACTACACATCAGTGTGTTATAGACGATGGAAGTGGAAAGTGCAAAGTTGTGACAGGTGAACAAATTGGAACTATTCTTCATTGTAACATGAGGACCATATTGCCTGTATTACTCTTTGTTATGCCACACTGGAACTCTCTCGTCTCTACATTTGACTGATCTGGTTAAACCTGTGGTTATAACCTGTATTAAGTTGTCTTCTGTTGAATGATAACGTATAATAATAAAATGTCAAATCATATTAATCTGTGTCACATTGTATTTACATACTGTATCCCTTTATAACTAGCTCCCCACATCTGGGTAGTGGGTTCGAGGCCTTCATGGCACAGTCGCCAGGAGCAGGTCGGTGTTTTTTCTCAGGGAAACTACAGGTTTCCTCCACCACCCAAAACTGTCCTTAAACGTGGCTGTTAATATAGGACCAATAAACCAAACCTAACTTGGCACGTCCTTAAATGTGGCTGTTAATATAGGACCAATAAACCAAACCTAACTTGGCACGTCCTTAAATGTGGCTGTTAATATAGGACCAATAGACCAAACCTAACTTGGCACGTTCTTAAATGTGGCTGTTAATATAGGACCAATAAACCAAACCTAACTTGGCACGTCCTTAAATGACCCTGGCTGGTAATGGGATGTAAAGCAGCAATAATGATACGTAGTATCCCTTTGATATAAACTTGATACAAACTAAAACACCAGTAAACTAATACAGTTGTTTCATTCAAAACATTTCCCTCCTCTTATATACTCATCATCTCACTGGAAAAGATTTGAATTGTGGTACTAGCTCTCCACAACAGAACCGCTGTGACTTTCCAGTCACATTTAGAATCACATCTGATCAATGTTCATTGATTTAGTAATCAATTTCTTGAAGGAATCATTTATTGGAGAAAGGCTTAACTGTTCAGTACATTCTGACAAAGGATGATCTGTCCTGTACAACTTTACAAAGGATGATCTGTCCTGTACATTCTGACAAAGGATGATCTGTACACTACATTCTGACAAAGGATGATCTGTCCTGTACATTCTGACAAAGGATGATCTGTCCTGTACAATTTTACAAAGGATGATCTGTCCTGTACATTCTGACAAAGGATGATCTGTCCTGTACATTCTGACAAAGGATGATCTGTCCTGTACATTCTGACAATGGATGATCTGTCCTGTACAATTTTACAATGGATGATCTGTCCTGTACATTCTGACAAAGGATGATCTGTCCTGTACATTCTGACAATGGATGATCTGTCCTGTACAATTTTACAAAGGATGATCTGTTCTGTACATTCTGACAAAGGATGATCTGTCCTGTACATTCTGACAAAGGATGATCTGTCCTGTACATTCTGACAATGGATGATCTGTCCTGTACATTCTGACAAAGGATGATCTGTCCTGTACATTCTGACAATGGATGATCTGTCCTGTACATTCTGACAAAGGATGATCTGTCCACTACATTCTGACAAAGGATGATCTGTCCTGTACAATTTTACAAAGGATGATCTGTCCTGTACATTCTGACAAAGGATGATCTGTCCTGTACATTCTGACAAAAGCTGGTCTGTCCTGTACATTATGACAAAGGATGATCTGTCCTGTACAATTTTACAAAGGGTGATCTGTCCTGTACATTCTAACAATGGCTGATCTGCCCTGTACAATTTTACAAAGGATGATCAATTCAGTATATTCTGTTAAGGATGTCAAATTGCTCTGACCTGTACATTCTGTCAAATGAAAATCCCTTCATAACTTTTTTTTGTCTAGTGCTTTCAAACAAATCACTATGGTTTATTCAAAACTTTCTGACAAAGGAGAATCTATCCAAATCTTCAGGTCTGGTCAGTGCTTTCTGGTAAATGATAATCTGTCAAGTACTTTCTAACAAGCTGCGATCTGTCCAGTATTCAGACGTAAAAGTCTGTCTGCTGTATCCCTTGCTAGTTTGTAATTCCAGTTATTCTCAAACTTGAATGATCCGTCCTGACTTTCACTGACCTCAGTTGTAAACCATCAGGAGATGGTAAAAAAAACACATGCCAATAATTGATATCAATCAAGTTTATTTACAATATCAAACAGCTACATTCTGTATGTTCATTTTTTGTACCAGCATTGTAATATATATAATAAACATGTCACATCACAGATGTACAATGTAATTAGTATTTAACCAAAGTTTATCTTTAACTAAGAGCCAAAATATTAATTGTGAAAACTGCAGGAATGGGCATGAATCGCTCTGTTGTTCATCAGTTAATTCTAGACCTTTGATGAATCAGACATGTCTGAAAATTTCTAAAATTTGACCTCTTGCAACCTTGAATCCGGGTTAAGGTCATTTCTTAATAATTCAAAAGGTATCATACTTCATCCTAGGTACAAATCAACCAAGCATCATGATTCTTGGCTTTCTAGTTAATCAGGCAAAGATGCTTGAAGATTTGATCATTTTGTGATCTTGACCATGGCTCAAGGTCATTTCTTCAGCAGACTTTGACTTCATATAACTGAAAGATCATGATTAAAGGCCTTTTAATTAGTCAAAAAAAGTTCAAGGTAGGTCATTTGTTTTGGCAAACTATGTTGGACTTCATCCAAGGAACCTGGTGTTTTGGAAAAAAAATCAACAAGTAAACAGATGACCGATGCAGCACCATGACATCAGCTCACTTGGCCAACTGGACCAGAAATGAGCTAAAAAAACCGTATTTGAATGCCAGCACTGACCCCATGTGTCTATAACATGGGTTTATTACAATAATAAGTAACATCAGTTCCAAACATGTTAGTAAATATACATCACTAAATGCCTGAAGATGACACATTAATATCTAGTGTAAAAAGAAAGCATCTTTCTTGTCTGTTGATTTCATCTAAATCAGAAATATGTATTTGGGCAGAAAATTCAGAGCAGAATGTGTAACAGGAAAACCACTTCATAACAGCATCTGCTTTCTGTCTAGTTAACATATTTACATCATGTCTACTACTCGCAATGTAAACATTACATTACACTCAGCTACTTGCAATATAAACTTTACACCATGCTGTCAGCTACTCGATATGTAAACTTTACACCATGCTGTCAGTTACTTGCAATGTAAATTTTGAACCATGCTGTCAGCTACACACTCTGTAAACTTTACACCATGCTGTCAGCTACTCACACTGTAAACTTTACACCATGCTGTCAGCTACTCGCAATGTAAACTTTACACAATGTTGTCAGCTACTCGCAATGTAAATTTTACACCATGCTGTCAGCTACTCGCAATGTAAACTTTACACAATGTTGTCAGCTACTCGCAATGTAAATTTTACACCATGCTGTCAGCTACTCGCACTGTAAACTTTACACCATGCTGTCAGCTACTCGCACTGTAAACTTTACACCATGCTGTCAGCTACTCGCAATGTAAACTTTACACAATGTTGTCAGCTACTCGCAATGTAAATTTTACACCATGCTGTCAGCTACTCGCACTGTAAACTTTACACCATGCTGTCAGCTACTCGCACTGTAAACTTTACACCATGCTGTCAGCTACTTGCTATGTAAACTTTACACTATGCTGTCAGCTACTCGCAATGTAAATTTTACACCATGCTGTCAGCTACTCACAATGTTAACTTTACACCATGCTGTCAGCTACTTGCAATGTAAATTTTACACCATGATGTTAGCTAGACCAACACTTAAAACTTTAAAGACCTAATATCTGTTTTAACTCCTCAAAACTATTCAACCATCACCCAACCCCTTTAATCATATACCATGCATGCATACAGCTATATATATACAGGTAATCAACCACGTCAACGAGTTACCAGATAGTGAGGAGTTGACCATGTAGTCAAGTAGGGGATCAAACTTACCCAATGTAAGCTAAAAGGTGGCTACTAAACCTAATGAAATATATGTACAGGTAAGAATTGAAGTGCACTAATCAACCATTCATACAGTTAACCAAAGTTTTAATGAGCCAGTCACATGATCTGTACAGATAACCTAATGTGTGTCATGTGATGGAGATGATGTCAGAGGTGTGAAAGGATTACCAACCACATGTGTTTCTGTGTAGCCAAACAGGAGTTGTGGTATCCAAGCATGTGTCATAGTAACCAGATCTCTGTTTTTGTAGCCACAATTAACATTTGTACTAGTGTAAAACATGTACAGACCATTACACAATTTGTCTTTTCAAACAGATTTTTTTTCACTATGTTTATCAGGAAATTATATTTACGATGGACCAGATATGCAACAGGTTAATTATAAATGTATCTGTTCCTGATTGCAGTTTCGATGGTTAAATAAGGATAATAAAGATCTTACTGTCTCAATAAAACTAATGTACAACAGTGTTCCCAAGTCCACTAACACAGATACAAAAAAAAATTACCACAGAATTTCAAGAAAACAACATGTTCACAAATTATATCGATACCAGATCATTTATAAATATGAAATCTAATGCCCTTCCATCAAGGAAAAAAATCTAATGAGTGATGGTCAAGATTACATGAATGACTGAAAGTCAGTGAAATCAAATGGGGGATGTTCAGAATGGGTCACACAAATCTATTCAAATTTTCAATTTAGAAAATCCATGATTTATTCATTCTGGCTTGTTATATTAGTATGTATAAATAGCCATCATGGAGAGCCCCTGCAGGCACAATTGGTATATATCTGTGTGTTCCATTATCAAATATAGCTGCATCTTAATATGCTTCATTTCTCTTGAAACAAAGCATTTCTGATCCAAACTCATTTAAAGAATATGATACATGTGACCTATATAAAATACTAGTCAAACATTAAGCCGTGAAAAGGTTACTTGTATCTAATATATCTCCCTCTGTCTGAATGCCTCAAGGTCAATGTGCTCCAGCTCTTCCAGGACAAGAGCCTGTGCTCCAAATGAATGAAAGGATCATTCCTGGGGGACAAGAGTATACCAGCACCTGAAGAGCAAGAGTGCCCCTGCTCCAGAGCAACACTGAGCTCTGCTCCTATGTGACAATACTGTACCCCTCCTCCTGTGTGACAACATTGAACCCCTACTCCTGTGTGACAACACTGTACCCCTTCTCCTGTGTGACAACACTGTACCCCTCCTCCTGTGTGACAACATTGTACCCCTCCTCCTGTGTGACAACATTGTACCCCTACTCTCGTGTGACAACATTGTACCCCTACTCTCGTGTGACAACACTGTACCCCTCCTCCTGTGTGACAACATTGTACCCCCACTCCCGTGTGACAACACTGTACCCCTACTCCCCTGTGACAACATTGTACCCCTACTCCCGTGTGACAACATTGTACCCCTACTCCCGTATGACAATACTGTACCCTTTCTCCCGTGTGACAACACTGTACCCCTCCTCCTGTGTGACAACATTGTACCCCTACTCTCGTGTGACAACATTGTACCCCTACTCTCGTGTGACAACACTGTACCCCTCCTCCTGTGTGACAACATTGTACCCCTACTCCCGTGTGACAACACTGTAACCCTACTCTTGTGTGACAACACTGTACCCCTCCTCCTGTGTGACAACATTGTACCCCTCCTCCTGTGTGACAACATTGTACCCCTACTCCCGTGTAACAACACTGTACCCCTCCTCCTGTGTGACAACACTGTACCACTCCTCCCGTGACACAACTGGAATACATTTTCACAAGAACTAAAAACTGTGTGTTAAGGTGAAAAATATTCAAGGAATGGTAGACAATTTTGGGAAAACATACAAAAGTCATTTTCATATTATCAATCAATATTATGTTTTACAGGATCTTCTCTATCACCCGACATTGTAACAGACTTCAGTTCCATAACATTCTCACAATCTTCTGAAAATTATGTTTTGTATATGTATGAATTCTAATGTGATATTTTCTTATTCACCAAAGACACAATTTAATTTTACTTTTAGATGCTGACTTGGTCATGTTTTCTTAGTTTCTTACAGAAATATCTTGATTCTCTATATAGACCATAAAATTCATAGTTGATCCACAAATCTACATTTGTTGTACAAGAAAAACTTTTGGAAAAGTTTATTACAAGTCGATATACCAACAAAATCTATAATGATACTTGTAATCATTACATCACAGATATGTTTTCACCCAATGAAAACTACTGTAACATCACAGATATTGTATTAACCAACAAAAATTATTGTTACATCATTGAATATGATATCATTGCTATCATAAGCTATCACAACATCACAAAAGTAATATCAACCAATGAAACTACATGTAACATAAATGATGTGAAATCAACCAATAAAAGATATCCTAACCTTACAGATGTGACATCAATCAATGAAAGCTATATTTGTAATATGAATGGTGTGATATCACACAAGAGCCTCCAAGGCTTTAACAGTCACCTAAGTCACTATGTTTGTCATTACAACATATAGAAATAATATTTTTAACACAGTAAGATAACTTGAATTACATTGTACAGTAACTGTGTACATCATTTACTGCCATCACAATTATTAGGGATTCTTACCATGTTTGAATTAAAAGAAATTATGCTCAAAATTGTAATTTTCCATCATGCTGTCATCTTATACTAATAATTCTAACTAAGTTAATGCTTTAATAAAAATTATAAGAATTATGCTCAAAATTTCATTTTCCTATATAAACCATAATTAAGTTTACCCTCTAACCAGAGGGAAATGTGAGACCCTAGGGGACATAAAATCTACAATTTTAGTAAAGCACCTTGATCCTTCCATCCACAAAGATCATTTGATCAGACCATATCAAGTTGGTGACAAGACATTTTGAATTTTTGTCAATTCTATCACTATTCGCCATGCCACACCCCCTCTCTATTTCAGGTGTGGGACTATATAATTCACATTCTGATATTTTATATTTTGTTCACTTTTGGTCATGGAAGGTTTCCTTGAATTTTGGTTTGCCAGAAAAAGTCAAATTTTTCAAAAGTTTATAATGCTACAAAACGCATGATGCACAACATCGGACAAAAGGTGATTGCAACAGGCCAACATAAGATTTTGTCTCAGGAGCTAATAAAACCATAACATTGCTGATGTAGTAAAGTAATATACTTTGAGGTAAGTAAACATTCAGGTGGGGTTGTATATAATTATGGCAGTATTCATGTCTACAGAGAGAACTGAGAAGGGCTTACATGGAATTTAGTACTACAAATATATTCTCAAACACTCACTCTCTCATTGTACAACTTTCCAACAGAAATCAGTTTGTATTTAAAGATATATGGGTTTTATAGCTACATAAAAACGAAAAGAAAGACAAAGAAAAAAAAAGGAAAACATATTTCAATAATTTCCCTCTCATTTGCCCTATGCATATAGTCATCTGCAAGCAAAAGCTACAATGAACTCATGCTCTATACATAATATTTCAACAAATAGTCCCTAAAACTTTCAAGGATGAAGCTTAATGTTTTGCTATGATAATTTACAGTGTTATGCTAAGACAGAGCCTCAATACAGGGCTTGCAGTAAAAATGGACCTTTCAGAATAACCACATAATTGTGTTGTACTGCGAACACAGAAACTTTCCACACAGTTGAACATTTACCAGTATCACTATTTCTCCCTGTAAAGGGAAAGTAAATATGGTCTAAAATCTCATACAAAAGCTAAGAACATGAATTATGTATTTTGGTCCAAATTTAATACAAGGCTCCGAGGTTTATTTATCTTGGTAGAATATATGTTACTGCAGAAAAAAACCTGGCATAATATCCCCCATGTATTGTATGTAGAGAACTTCAGTTCAGCTTGAATTATTATTGGATTACTAATTAGCACTCCTTCTTAAACCTGCTCTTAACAAACTAAAAACCAAAAACTAACTTTTGCCTACCAGAGGGAAATATTTCAATCACAACTGCAATGATATTTTAACAGTGGATCGTCACACAATGACGTGACATGTAGATCATTATGAATTCACAATAGACAAAAATAGTGATAACTTATGAAATAGTGAAGGAGGTTTTCTGTGAAAAATTTCACCTGATAAAAAAAGTTCAATTCTATACTCAGTTTGTTACTGTCTTTATAGCTTTCTGGAATTTGTCACAATTTTTACATTTCAGCTCACCAGATGGAAAACTCTTTTAATAAGTGAAGCATAAATTTGTGCTAGATTCAAAATATATCATTGTACAAACGTCTAGTTTATCCCGCTAGTTGTACAGAAGTGCTGATCAGACATCATTTATTGCAGCTAAGCAGGCTAACAATAAATTCAAAGTATAATAACTATCAATTGAAATTGTTGACATTTTTTTTAATAAACCAATATTTATATTTGATATGCAGTACCGAATCATAGTTGCCAAATGCATTCAATAAAAATATGTTTACAATGACATAATAACACAAACTTAATAAGAATATGTACAAATGAATGATACATGGTTTCATTATCCTGTCGTACTCCTATGGATAATCCTTCAACACTACCTCACTATAGACAAATAATTAAGATCTCCTTTTACATAAGTTCTCCACATGGGTACAGAGTACTCCATGCCATTTCTGATATACCTTGAGCCCCCTCCCCTTCCCTCCATATAATGACATTTCTGATTGGTCACTTTCATGTTTCATAACAGAAGACTGCTTCTGATTGGTGAATCTGATGTGATTAAAGATGAAGCTTTAACTGCTAACTTATACATCTGAAAAGAATTAACAGTTTTCTAAACAATATCTACAATTTTGATCTACACCCCACATTTCCCACCCCCATTTTAGAATCTTGTTAGTCCAGTTCACAACTCTCGTATCTGGAAAGGCTTGTCCTGAGTTTGATATTGTCTTTCTTCATTTTTTCAAGTTCTTTTTTCAATGTTTCATTTTCTTTTTCCAAAAAGGATGCTCTCATTGCAATCTGGTTTTCTTTGATACGACGTGCATCTCTGGAACGCTTGGCAGCAACGTTGTTCTTCTTGCGACGATTCCAATACTTGTCATCTTTGCAATCATCAGGAACAAATATCTATACAAAAGAGATCATTACATTTATGTTGCTGAAACACATATCAAACTGTGCATAGGACTCTTTTCTTTAGGTTTGTATTTAATATCACAAATTCCACGCTAATCAACTGACTTACTAACATGTTTATTAACCAACTCATTAACGAGGTTAATAAACTAGCTAATGAGATTAAACAATGTACTCACAAACAAGGTAAATCAAGTCAAAACAAGGTTAATCTACCAATATACGAGGTTAATTAACTAACGAGGTTGATCAACAGACTAACAAGGTCAACCAAACAACTCTTAACAATGTTACTCAACTGACTCACTAATGAGGTAAACATAGCGACTCATTAACAAGGTTGATCAAGTGACTCGCCAACAAGGTTACAAAATTACAAAAGTACAGGTAAAGATCTCCAATCAGTTTCAGAACCTAATTAATGTAAACATGCAGTATTCATGACAGATAAACGAAGCCTACCTTCCGTGACTTTTTAATGATGGGCTGTGGCTTTAGTTCTTCCGTTGTAAATCTACGTTTCTTCGGATCAAAATCATGTCCTGTAGAATTCAAAATGTAAAAATGATTTTCATATCTTATCATAAAATTTATAATTTCTATGAATAAGAACAGCGAAATGTATAAAAACTATTCCTGCTAAAGTTTCAACGTTAACACTAAAATATTGACAAGTGTTGATGGATGAAGTATCAACAGGTGATGATTGATGGAATACATTTTAGTAACCAGCGCTAGCAGGTAATGATGTAAAATTTTCTTTCAAATAAGGACCTGACACAATTCCAAACATTGAGAGTTTTGACATTCACTCTAAGGTGTTAAAATCTAGAAATATATTGATATTTTTAATTTCTTCCGTGCGGTGGAACTACCAATTCCGAAAGAGATTGTGAATAGATTTCACCATTTAGAAAATTTACATACAATCTTTTACATTCTGTCATCTTCATCTTATAAAAACTCTGGACACAGAATCATTACACAAATTATTTCTTCTGTCAAAAGATCATGTTAAATTTCTAATTGTGACATACAAAAATCTATTCATAATAGCATGAAGAAAATGTCACATAATATCAAAAATAAATTGTTGTACACAAAGATACATATACGTTTTGTATACATTTTAGGTGTATACTGTACCTGGTATGGACGCCAAAGCGATATCAGATTCATCCACGTCAAATTCGATATTGACATGAACTGGGCTGGCCGATCCAACACTGCCAGTGGGAGAGTGGGGAATTGCTTCGTCATCTTTAGGTGTAATGTGATCTACAGTAGGAAAACTACATTTTATAATCCTGATCAATTTCTTCTCATACACTTTACTTTGATTCCTATTGTGAATTTTGCATAAAATGAGACTGTTCCTGTGTATGATAATTGATTATTGTTATATTCAATGCAGAAGGTTTCCTTACCACGCTAAAAAAAAATTGAACACTCAGAAATCAATACTGAAATTACTAGTACTAGAAAAACAAAGAAAACTTCAGATTGTTAAACACTATTTTTTTCTATGTGATAGACATTAATTCAGTTAAAAGTTCACAACAATGAAAATTCCTTGTTTTAAAAATAAAACATAAATAAATTTTCATTTTATTATAGACCTAACTACTAATGTGCATTAAGTTATCGAACATTGCACAGATCAAATATTTATTTCAATATTCTGAAATATTGATGATTCAAATTACCAATTGTAAGCAGTGATCGAATTGATGGACTTGACAATGGTTTGGGGGATTCAGGATCACTGCTGAACAATGCATTGGTGGGTTCAACAGGTGGTGATTTGGGCGCACTCATCATGGGGTTTGCTGTGGCTATAGGGGATGACGGCTGGCTACCAATCAATGATGCTGACTGCTGGGACTGGTCTGGTTCTCCACCAAATGAATTGTCATTCAAGTCGGCTGGAATTCCATTTTCTGATAGAAATTCGTCTAAGTCCATGTACTCCAACTGAAAATTGTCATCCTGTATAGCGTTGTTGTTCCATAAGTTTGGGCCAAGAAAGGCTGAGGTTGGGTCGAACATGGCGTTCCCAGTTTTATCTTTCTTGTAACTGCCATCTGAAGAATTAAGGAAAATATTGCTGATCAAATCAGGATGAACACGCGGAAGAAATTAGGACACACCAACATTCTGGTACTGTAACAAACCCATTTCTGCAACCACTTACACACACACCTAAGATATCACATGAAAAAGTACATCTAAAAATATAAAAAAAAGTCTTCCATTTAATGTAGGTGAAACATTAAAATGTAACAGTAGGTCTTCTGGTATACAGTCTTCTCAGGATGTAAAACAAAATATATGTATTTATATATTGGTATCTTCAAGATACTACAAAAGATCTGTCAGAAAAAAAAATCTTATTGCATCATCATAAATGTTAAAAAAGGAAAAGCAGATCACAGTGACCTAAATTTTACAAGAATTACCTACACATACAACTTGATGATCCTGTCTCAAATAGTTCTACACTAGAAGTGCATTAGAATCCACTTCATCAGGTCAAAGGTTAAATTATATCTTATAGTGACAATGAAGACCTGCAGGATTTTACAACCAACATTTAGGAATTAAAAAAATATTTCACCAATAGATTTAAATTTTATTTTTAATTTTTTTTTTATTTCATAATTTTATGTAAAGAACACTCAGGTGTAAAACACACACGTCTCACACAATCAGAAGTCTCTGCGTTTCCAGTATTCTGACCCAGACATAATTTAAGCCTATGACCACTGGCTACAATTCTTGCTGACCATTTAATGAGACTTTTTTTAGAGCACCAATTTAAATTTATTTCGTACAGTGTGTCATGTCGTAAAGACTATTGGTAACACAGCAGAGTGCATCCGGGAGTATATACGTTATGCTGGGGAATGACAACGAGACTTGTTTACATGTGATTTCGTCCGGCCGAGGCAGTACACATGTACCGACCTCACTGGACACAATGACCTTGACCTGTGTACACTGATGGCATAATATGGGACGTCCAGGCGACCCGTATAGATGGAAGAGCATCACAGCAATAGTACATCAAAACATTTCCGTCTTGTAAAAGAATTTCTTTTTGCATAGGAAATATTCAGAGCGACTATTTACATAAGGAAAATGATGTTACTATTTGTTATGAATGAGACATGTATGAGGCGGTTGCGTGGCCCATACACCCAATGATGAAAGCATCAACACAACATTACACCAAACAACACAGCCGTTCTTACCATTGATATTAGGCGCTGTCTGAAGTTTAGGGTTCTCCAGTAACTCCTTCAAAGTAATGCCCTGCTGTCCAATCCCGAAAAACGACATCTTTTCAGCTGAAATAAACAAGCGAGACTGGAAGTCAGAAGGTGAATTATATAAATAGAACTACAAACAGTAAATCAGCCAATCATATGCGAGAATCAAGTCTCCGTGGCTTAGGGTCACGTTGCAACGCACGAGGTTTCGATCGAGTGGACAGTGGTCAACATACATGTTTATGTGTACCTAGATGTTAATCCTCGGTTGAGTACACGAAATACGTCCATAAAACGTGAGTATGGATCGGACCAGGGCACGTTACACTGTTACTACGACCTGGTCGTAGGGACTGGAGAATTTCCGACGGACTTACTAGATGTCCCGGCCTTAATGTTTGCCAACTGCGTTTTAAGTTTATTGTTTAAGTTATATATTGTTGTCAGAAGCAGAGAATGTCCGTTATTACAGTAATTGGAAGGAGAAATGAAAAAATACCCTGTCACCGCTGGGGTTCGTACTAGCGACTCTTCGGTCTCTAACCGGACACTCTACCGATCAACTACATGGGAACCCCAATAGCCGAAACATTCTACAATTGATAAAGCATCTTTATTGATGTAAAATATATAATTGGTTAGATATTCTCATCTCAGTCTTCTATAGGCCTAGTTTTCAAGATGATTTCAACTTCAGGACATTGGCCTAAATGTATATAATACAAATATCTACAATTACGGACAATATACAGAGAATGAAGACAATCTTATTCCATTCAGTTGCTGAAAAGCGACTGTTTTAATACTATGAAATAACTAAACAACAAAATCTCTTCATAAAAGTTGTTTTCATTTTTTTTTAATTTTTGTAAACATTTTAGAACAAATAATATAAACCGAACATTAACGTTAATATATTCACGTGCACCTATACATGTAGCAACTTATTTAGATAACATTATACATGATAACAAATAATGCTACGATGTGCATTTAAACATTAGAGAAGATTTATCAAAATCATTTTAAAGAATCTCTATCATTTAACCTTGATATACAGACTAGTAGTGAGCATTCATTCTTAGCTCCTGTCGGCTGCATGTTGTGATAGAAACGAAGGGACGTAACTCTTGAATATCAGCATACTGAAGCGTGACATTTTGCAAAGTAAAATTGCAACGATTCGCTGAAATTCAATCAATGTTTACGAGATTCTACATCTCTGATAAGATCAATCGAGCCAGTGAAGAATGACGTATATCATTTTAAACTTTTACTCTGAGAAACACAACATGAAAGTAAAGTGACATAAATGTAACCTGAAAATCGTCCTGGTTGAGAGGCGTTCAGAAAGAACCAGACCGATATGACATGCTTAGGCCCGAGGTCGACAGCTGTCAATCAACACATCTGATATGTGAGTGATAACCTATTCTTTTTAAATATTATATCAATCTTTCAGTCTTTGTTCTGCGATCGTGAACAATACATCAGCAATTATCAGGTGCATCAGCCACATATATATATTGTCACCTGACCATTGGTCATAGTGACCTTTAGCGATCGGTCGTCTTGCGTTATGCGTCCCGAACACGATAACTTGAATAGACTTGAATAGATATCAATAGGTTTTGACGAAACTTGGCAACAGCTTTATATCAGTAGGATCTGAAACGAGATCGAAAAATGAGACCGATTCGGATATAAAGCATTCTATGATAATGACAGATCTAAACTAAGGTATAAAATAGCTAAACTTGGTGTTCGTGGTAAAATCATTGTATAGTCACATTAAATCTTGTGCCAACGTTGGAGGGAAAATAACTGATAACAAACAAACAAGACAGAGTTTACACAAGTAGAAATAATTTCCCCGTTCCTGTTTAACTAATTTGTTAACGATTGTGAATCTGAATTCTTAAAGGTCGATATACAGCCGCTTGAATTAAAAAAAATGTCACTATTTTTATTATTGTACGCAGATGACATGGCTTTATTTTCTGTAAGTATACAGGGTTTACTTTCAATGCTGGAATGACATGGCTTTATTTTCTGTAAGTATACAGGGTTTACTGTCAATGCTGGAATGACATGGCTTTATTTTCTGTAAGTATACAGGGTTTACTGTCAATGCTGGAATGACATGGCTTTATTTTCTGTAAGTATACAGGGTTTACTTTCAATGCTGGAATGACATGGCTTTATTTTCTTTATACAGGGTTTTTCAATGCTGGAATGACATGGCTTTATTTTCTGTAAGTATACAGGGTTTACTGTCAATGCTGGAATGACATGGCTTTATTTTCTGTAAGTATACAGGGTTTACTTTCAATGCTGGAATGACATGGCTTTATTTTCTGTAAGTATACAGGGTTTACTGTCAATGCTGGAATGACATGGCTTTATTTTCTGTAAGTATACAGGGTTTACTTTCAATGCTGGAATGACATGGCTTTATTTTCTGTAAGTATACAGGGTTTACTTTCAATGCTGGAATGACATGGCTTTATTTTCTGTAAGTATACAGGGTTTACTGTCAATGCTGGAATGACATGGCTTTATTTTCTGTAAGTATACAGGGTTTACTGTCAATGCTGGAATGACATGGCTTTATTTTCTGTAAGCAGGGTTTATCAATGCTGGAATGACATGGCTTTATTTTCTGTAAGTAAGTATACAGGGTTTACTGTCAATGCTGGAATGACATGGCTTTATTTTCTGTAAGTATACAGTGTTTATTGTCAATGCTGGAATGACATGGCTTTATTTTCTGTAAGTATACAGGGTTTACTGTCAATGCTGGAATGACATGGCTTTATTTTCTGTAAGTATACAGGGTTTACTGTCAATGCTGGACATACAATGTTACTACACCGAAAGGTGATCTCTGACTGTTAATGTATCTTAAACCAAAATTATAGTTATTGACAAGTTAGGAAGATTAACAAAGGACGAAAAATGGTATGTTAACGGTCAATTGCTTGAAAATGTAGATAGCTTTTGTTACCTTGGCTTGCTGCTACACTTTAACGGTAACTTAACACATCGCAAAAACAGCATTCCATAGAGGAAAAGCATTATTCGCTCTGGAAAGGCCTTGTGTACCTATGTTTTTGAATGTCTCCAGATTATGAAGTCTGTTTGACACGTATGTAGGAAGTGCTGCTAGTTACAGTAACGAAGTATGGGGCTTCCATACTGCTCCCGACTTACAGTAGATTCAATAAGATTTTGGTGAAAATATTCTTGGAGTTAAACGGTCGACACGTTAAAAAAGTTATACTTTAAACTTAGGAGAGTTTTAGGCTAACCGAATTGTAAAAATCTGGGTCTCCCATCATGTCATAAATGTAACTACTTTTTAAACATTGTAAAACAATGTCTGATGGACATTTTCAAACAAGAGTGTGGTTTTTGCTTCGTCTCCTAAATGTGTTATATAAAAGCACGTTGTAGATCATTTAGCATTGCAAACTTATCTTTCTAAGTCTTTTCCTATTAATCATAAAAAGGATATTGTAAAATACGTTTATCTTCGTATTGTCTTCTTAGGAACAAATTAACATTTCTCACAAACTTCGTAATAATCCTGTATGTCGTAATGATACTGAGGACGAGTTTCATGTCCTTTGTATAATGATCTGAGATCTGTATATATCAAGCCTGGCTATCGATCGAATCCGTTTGTCTTTAAATTAGTTGATTTTTTATCATCTTCTAATCAAAAAGAACTACGTAATTTAGGAAAAATTATACACTATGCAACCAAATTAAGAGATACAATGTCTTTAGTAAAAAATTAATGGAATGCCATACAAATTATTAAGTTTAATACAAATGTTGTATCAATGAGCTGTAAAGGTTTACGATGAATAAAGAATAACAATGTAAATTATAGATTTATGTGGCCGATTGCAGTTTAATCATCATTGAACTCTGTATATATATTGTTAGACTATATTGTACAGCTGAGACCATGCTGAACTCGAAACTGTGACTGAGAGAATGTGAATTCGGACTCGGGCTTATAAGCAATTCGACCTGAAGTACTTTCAATCGACTGCGGGTGTTTGTTAAGGTAACATGTGATTGCAGAAACAACTACGTCTTTTTGTTAATTAAATAACTAATTTATCTATTTACTTTCTTCTATGCTGAATTCAATGCATTTTCGGTTGTCGTTCATTTCATTTCACAAAGATATTTTATACGGAGAAACTTGATATCAGAGCAAGGAGACTAGGCTCTAGTGTTCCTGGAGACGGAGTTCCTTTGTTGTATATTTCAATTTCATCATCAGTTCACATTTTTCATTTCAAAATATTTTCTTGTCAAAAGGAATTGGGCAACAGGCATAGCATATAAAAGTCCTCTCCGTGCTGTTATAAACAAATATACACGTCAACCAGTGATAAATGATAAATATAAACATGTTTAATGGTAATAATATCACTCAATGACGGGGACATGAATCTGTCCGAAAGTCAGCTTGCATGGAAGGCAGCAAAAGTAAATTATCCATACATCCATACATATTCACCCTCCTTTGCTGAATCCATACATATTCAACCTCCTTTGCTGAATCCATACATATTCACCCTCCTTTGCTGAATCCATACATATTCACCCTCCTTTGCTGAATCCATACATATTCACCCTCCTTTGCTGAATCCATACATATTCACCTTCCTTTGCTGAATCCATAAATATTCACCCTCCTTTGCTGAGTCCATACATATTCACCCACCTTTGCTAATCCATACGTATTCACCCTCCTCTGCTAAATTCACACATATTCACCCTCCTTTGCTAAATCCACACATATTCACCCTCCTTTGCTAAATCCATACATATTCACCCTCCTTTGCTGAATCCATACATATTCACCTCCTTTGCTGAATCCATATATATTCACCCTCCTTTGCTGAATCCATATATATTCACCCTCCTTTGCTGAAACCATACATATATATTCACCCTCCATATATATTGCTGAATGCTGAATCCATATATATATTCACCCTCCTTTGCTGAATCCATATATATTCACTCTCCTTTGCTGAATCCATAT